TTACCATTGTTCTAACAACATTTGAAGGCAAACATCAGGATAGAGTCCTCTTTTACCATTGTTCTAACAACATTTGAAGGCAAACATCAGGATAGAGTCCTCTATTACCATTGTCCTAACAGCATTTATATGTAAACATCAGGATAGAGTCCTCTATTACCATTGTTCTAACAACATTTGAAGGCAAACATCAGGATAGAGTCCTCTATTACCATTGTCCTATCAACATTTGTATGTAAACATCAGGATAGAGTCCTCTATTACCATTGTCCTAAAAGCATTTGTATGTTAACATCAGGATAGAGTCATCTATTACCATTGTCTGTACAACATAAATTTGTATGTAAACATCAGGATAGAGTCCTCTATTACCATTGTCCTAACAACATTTGGATGTAAACATCAGGATAGAATCCTCTTTTACCATTGTCCTAACAATATTTGTATGTAAACATCAGAATAGAGTCCTCTATTACCATTGTTCTAACAACATTTGAAGGCAAACATCAGGATAGAGTCCTCTATTACCATTGTCCTATCAACATTTGTATGTAAACATCAGGATCGAGTCCTCTATTACCATTGTCTTTACAATATAAATTTGTATGTAAACATCAGGATAGAGTCATCTATTACCATTGTCCTGACAACATAAATTTGTATGTAAACATCAGGATATATTCCTCTTTTACCAATGTCCTAACAACATTTGCATGTAAACATCGGGATAGAGTCCTTTTTTCCATTGTCCTTATAATATGTGTGTACATACATCAGGATAGAGTCCTCTACATCCATTGTCCTAACAACAAAATTAATGTGTTGGATTGAATCATTATTATCATTCAATCGTCGCCTTCTGAATAAGCTATATTAAGACCAATAAGCTATATTATCCAATAAGCTATATTAAGACCAATAAGCTATGTTAAGACCAATAAGCTATATTAAGACCAATAAGCTATACAAGAGGCGATGAATTACGATTTTTTGTGCCAAAGTTAAAAAAAAACCAGAAAAGTATGAAGCTATTCAGATTTATGTTCCTTTCTTTTGTTTTTAATCGATTTTTTTAATTAAATATATAGGACATTTCTTATTTATTATTTCTCTAAAGAAACACACTGTTAGTAAAAAAACACTATAGAGTAACTGTCCAATATTTCTGTCTCAAGAGTAATGAAAAGTAATTTTGAGATACGTGTCTCATTGTCTGCCTCTGCGCTCTGTGTTAAGTCTATTATTATATATACTACTAACACTTTGCTAAGGATCACCTATATTTTGAGAAAAAAAAACATCAAAATGTTAGAAAGGATATTATATTTTCCGTCCGTATTGTTTTGGGCGAATATGTTAGCCTTCGAAATCGTCCTGTGTAAGTGTGTTCAGTCAACCATAAAAGCGCGTGCACGCTTTTCCACGTGTACACCCCTTTCAAAAGCTAAGCTAACCTAAGTAAGGCGTTGTTCAAATTGTAAAGGAAATCAATTTGATGAATATTCTTTGCGTGTTTTTGTTTTAATATGGCACAAAGACGAACCAGACAACGGTCAAATAACGGTGAAATCAATAGGAGCATCGGAATGCTGCAAGCTAGCATGTCTCAACGTCAGGTTGCAGCAGGCCTTGGGGTGTCTCAAAGTGTGGTTTCAAGAATGTGGAATCGTTTCCAAACTAACGAAAACCCTTCCAGTCGTCATGCTGAAGGTCGTTCTAGGGCTACAACGCAACGCCAAGACCGAGTTTTGCTCATACAGGCACGGCATCTCAGGTTCCAGACTGCAACACCTCATAAATGCTTCTGGTACCCGGATAGCCACTCAGACAGTTAGGAACCGTCTTCTTGGTGCTGGTTTAAGGTCACGTAGACCAGCAATACGAGATTCCTTAACTGCCCGCCATGTTAGGGACCGATTACATTGGGCACAAGCTCGCAGCACTTGGACTCTTCAGGAATGGGAACCGGTTCTTTTTACTGACGAGTCCAGATTCTGTCTCGACTTCACCGACAGGCGCGTTAGAGTATGGATACAATCTGGGGAGAGGGTCCAGGCAGGTAACGTTGTGGAACATGACCGATATGGCGGAGGTTCAGTGATGGTGTGGGGAGGCACAAGCCTTCGTGGGTAAACTGACCTTCTTGTCTTCCATAATGGTACCGTTACGGCCCGGTTTTACTGCGATGAGATCCTTGATGCCTATGTAAGATCCTACGCTGGCGCTATCGGCCCTGACTTCATCCTTATGGACGATAATGCTAGGCCTCATAGAGCAAGGGTGACTGAATAGTATCTACATTTACACCAAGAGACTATTCAACGAATGGATTGGCCAGCCCGCTCGCCGGATCTAAATCCCATCGAGCATGTGTGGGACATGAGGCAGACATCTTTTTCTGCCAGAAATGTTCAGTCAAGAATGCTCCAGGAGCTGGGAACAGCTTTGGTAGCTGATTTGAACGCTATCTCACAACACCGGATACGCGATCTCATTCATGGCATGCGGAGACGTTGTGAAGCTGTAATTGATGCCCATAGGCGTCAGACTCGATACTAAAACAGTTTCTGTTTATTTAGGATGAGTTTTGTTCAATTTAAGTTTTTTAGTGAATACCTCGTTGTTTCCAATTTTAAGGGTAACCTTTTTCCTGCGGCTCATTTTCCGACTGTAATTACGATTTTTTGAATTTTTGAATGCTGATGAATTGAAAGAACAATCAATTTTTCAAAAATGATCTCAGTATAAACCAAATGAAATATATCACATATGCCTAAAAATAAAAATGATCCTTAGCAAAATGTGAGTAGCACTATATATTCAAAACATTGAAAGTACAAATAAATAGGTACATATTACAATTGTCGATAAACAGCAGCTATGTATGTATACGTTTTACCCCTAATGTATTAAAGATAGCTCTCCGTTTTCAATTTAGTTAATCGAAAATTCAAATTAAGAGTTTTGATGTTTGCACTTCTATCTAAACCATCAATTTTCTTAACGACAACATATATTTTATCTACATACACATACATCTTTGTGTATTAAAATAACGAACGAAATACATAAACATTGAAATTATTCTATCATGATACGAGTTGTAGGACTCTTTTACGTTTTCAGGACAAAAGTTCCGGAGCCAACGATGATTGTTCCCGTATTTAATCCATACGATCCATTTCCAAGTGATGACTACGCCACTATTTCTGAATCAAGGGAGGAAGTATATGATGACCTGGACGAGATGAAGATGATCGAAAGAGGTTCTGAAAATAAACCATATGATGATGCTTACATTCATCCGTCATCTGGTCACACTAATCAAGTGGCTGACGATTACGAAGAGCCGGGTAAACCAAAAGAGCAATCAGTAGGTAACCACGGTAGACCAGAAAAAGACGATTACTTAACTCCCACGAGTAAACAGTCGGATGTTGCTTCTACCGTTTATGTAACAGGTGACGACGATTATATTACTCCCACCAATGAGCATGATGGGCCTAGGAGAATGTCCGTAAAGACAGAATCAGTTGATTTGAAAGACATGCATCGGGCAAGCATCACGTCAGCTGAGGCGGATTATTTGGTATTGTAATCAACGAAAGGAATTTATAAGGGTTAAGCTAATTTGGTGTTTTCTCAAAAGGAGTAGAGGTTCAGGAGGTCAAAATTCTACATGGAATTTGTTGAAATATCATGTGTTTAGCAAGAATGTGTTAATAACATAACCCATATTACAGTTTAGTCAACACTGCAATCATTAATATATCCCAAACTTGCAGCCATCATTTATCCTGTTTCGAACTATTCAGCATCCACTTATCTGAATTACGAAAACCAAGCCACATTCAATCTGATTTCTCAACTGTCTATTCACCACTGATCCTATTAACCCACTATTCAGTCTGGTGTGTACACTTGCTTTTTGCCCTAACCCTAACCTTGTATTTTCCATAACTGCCCTGCCACCAACCACAAATCTGACTCCACACCATACAGTCACCAGTAATCTGATTTCCACACTATCCAGCCACCAGTAATCTGATTTCCCGCTAATCAGCTATCAGTAATCCCGTTTCCATACCATCCAGCCACTAGTAATCCCGTTTCCACACCATCCTGCCACCAGTAATCCCGTTTCCACACCATTCTGCCACTAGTAATCCCGTTTCCACATGTAGTTGCATTCCTGCTCTCGACGCAAAAGTGATCGACAGGTGATTATCAAATTGTAAGATATACTATCGAGGCATCATTTTCGCTTATTTATATAGTGAACCGATTGATATCTTGTATTTACCAATTATTTACATGATGCACGTGTAATAATTACAATAAGTTTATATAATAATACTAATTATTTTGTGAATGACCCTAGCGACTAAACAACGACTGGTCTGAGTACATCTTGACTAAATTAGATGAACAGACCACATGGGCTTTGTGAACAATGTTTACTTGCCGAAATATTCACAATTGAAGTTCCAATTTAATCCGCCTTGCTACTTCCAGTCGCCATTTTGTAAACAGGGGCCTAATCTCGAGCTGATGCGCGTTTGAAAGAGTTTGAAGTATTGCAAAACTTCTAAACGATCATGCCCAGAATATACTCTCTCAGGAGGAGGTTTTTGATAAATTTACTATCAATTATTTACTATATTTCTTTTTTGTGTCACTTTCATTAATTAATAAAAGAACAAATTGATTTTTTCCCCTTCAAACTTTTTTCTTTCAAATGTTAAACACATTTTTTTTTGAAAAAATGTTCTAGTTTCGAGATTTTGATCAAACGTCGTCTGCTTCGCAAACATTCAAGAAAATAATATTTACAATGTATTGATATTGTTTTTATTATCTCGTTAAACTATCTTTTATTAATAAATATCAAGATTTTGTGAATTGAAAAATTGCATTTATGACGTAACCGGAAGCGCACTTAATACGAAAACGTGACCCGGAAATACCTCACAACATAATCAGGACAGTAATAATAAACAGACGTTTATCGAATATTAACAAATTAATACCGTATGTATTGAGACACTGGTGTGCTAGAATACAACACAAGGTAACACTCGTTTAATCCATTGCTATCACATCAAGTACTAACTGACATTTATGCGAAATATCAGCATTAAATGTTTGCGATCGCGCAGACCTACTTTCTTTTTACAGTTCATAATGAGTTTACATACATTTGTACATGTCGGCATCAACAGTATACCTTAATTTGTGTCCTTCATCGTGCCGAAGATTATATATAGGCGCATTCTAGGAAAAGTTCGTGATTAAAAGCTTGTGTGTGTTGTTTTTTATCTTAAAATTATCGGATAAAAGCATAGAATCATTATTTTACTTTGAATATATGTCACAGTTAACATAAGCTCTCGGGGGCTTGTATTTCGACAAACATATATATATATATATATATATAAATGGTAAAACATTGTAACAGGTTAAGGCAAACAACAAATTGTTTCACAAGATTCCTACGTTGGAAGGATTAAGATGTAGAGGCTAAATAATCATGCTGTAAAAAATTTGGCACTAAAACAACTCAAGTTACTTAAAAACCAGTCCAGAGGGCAGGTGATTGGGACATAGCATTTATTTGTAACCAGGAGCACGGGTTTGGTAGCCCTTAATATTAAAAGACGTTTTTAGTATTGATGCTGCTCGTGACGCCAATGATGTATTTTTTGCTTACAAGTTATAGCGTCGTTATCCAAAAGAAGATTAGTACAAATTGAAAAGTGTGAATTGCCTACAGCTCCTGTCAAAAGTCAAAAACATTCCTCTCATGTTCTTTCTCGTCACCTGGATGTTTGTAAGTTAGAACAGCTGGTCTCGCAGACACTTAAACTATGTACACAATATATATACAGTTATACTACAGTATTCTAATTGTCTCGGTATGGCTACGAATGCGTTCCAGCTAGGTCAGGTAATAGAGCATCAAATGTTTTAAATTCAAATAAAGCACCACTTCACGACAATCATGGATTCATATGGGTACAATGTTATTAAAATAACATTCATACAGTGCATGCAAGCTGAAATTAACAAATCATTTGTTTAAAATAACAAGTCATCATTTCCATGAAATTATCCAAATAGATAAGATCTTTATGTCGAAATAAACTTCAGGTTTGATTTAGTATTGTTTAATGTACGTCCTATCAACAGCTATACATGGTCATTTAAGGACGGCCTCCCCCATTTGCTAGATGCATGCATGTGGTGAGTTTGTGCATAATTAATTTGTGTTTTGGGAGTCTGCGGTATGTTCATGTTTGTCTCCTTGTGATAGCTCAGGACTTGATGCTGACTTTATAGTGTAATTTCACTGGAGCATACTGCTGAAGACACATCTTATTTTACAATCAAACCTCGTTATCTCACCATCTTCAAAAAATGTTTCTTTAAGTATTGTCCTCCTTTGTTTTTTCACATAAATCATGACATAGTCGACAAGGCAACTTGGTACTGGGCGCCGCCATTATTATTTACATGCACAGGAACTTGGTATATTAATTTCTAACCCTCAGTTCACATATGTGTGTTATATAATGTATGATATAAAAAAAGTATGTGGACCATAGGATAGTAATTCGTGCCAAATCCCTGTGCCAGGTTCAATAATTTGAAAGCTTAGAGAACAAGGCTAAATCTGCTAAGGTTGAATATATTAATATGTGAATACAAAATAAACACTTGGCTAGCAAAGATGAGATGTTACAGGCTGGACAGTAATGACAACAAAAACAGGCTGAAAACATGTATGGAATGTGTTTTTCTTAAAGGAGGCTGTATAAACACATTATGAATATGTAAAATCATGATGGAAGTCCATTTTACCCGAATTACCTGACGTTATTTTCAATACCTTCAGTTCATCTATATTTCAACACTGTTCTCTGTATAAGGGATAGGAATCAGTTTGTTTTTTGGGTTTTATAAATCCTTGCAACCACTTTTAGTCATATGTATAAGAAAGGTCTGCCAAATATCTGATTCTTTGACAACTTTACTACAAATATATAGCAGGAATTGAACTTTCTATATCAACTGCACTACTCTTCATATTATTTATTGACATTTTTCTGCTACAATACATGGAGTTTCCTCACAAGATGCTGATAACCGAATACTGTGTTTAAAAAAATGTTATACATGTATCTCTTCGATCCACTAAACATCAACAAACAACATTTTAAATGTTAAAATATTGCTGTTCAATATTCATATTTACAATGGTGTTCAAATCCACTAATACCTAAGTTGACATAAAATTGTACTGCAGTATTTTTTGGTCTGACTTTTGACAGCTAAATAAGTCTCATCAGGGGTCATTGACCTGTCAGAAGTTGAAGTAGCCAAAGTTATTTGACTTTGGTGTAGAAGCATCCTAAAAATAGAAGAAAGTAAGGGCTGGATTTTCACAAACTCGAAGAGTTGTGCCCCTTTGTTTGCTTTCCTATACATCTTATTCTGGCAGTTTATCATTCATATTTTTATTTTTCAATTTGTTATGCACTTCATATACATCTGATGAGACTGGGATATATTAAACAATGCGGAAAAATTCGCCAAGAAAGCTGAAATTTACAAAAGGTCAAAAAGTGAAACTTTACACCATGCAGGCCAGGTTTGAACATTTTACTGTAATGTTTGTTTTACTTTCCTTGTGGGGAGGATTTTTAATGCATCTCAACCGTTATATCAATCAATTAATTTTCATTTAGATGGTGTCCCTGATAATTATTTCTTATATAATTTAAAATTTGTTCCAAGTAATACTCATACTCTCTGTTTTAAACTAGGAACACTTGCTATGTACTTTAAGTATTTGTGCAGTTATGATTGATTGTCTTCCTTTGGATAATATTTCTGTGAGTTGTGTCCCTCACATGATTTCCTCACATTCTTTTCTGTTATATATCGGATATAGTTGTTACTTCTATAAGATCCAAGTTTCCTTTTAGATAAAATATGTCATGTTTAGGTGATTTTTGAGAATTGGTGGTTTTGCGAAATTTGCTTATTGTTTTGCAAGGTACCAATATTTTTTATGTTTGTAACATATATAGGTTGCTCCCATAGCTACCACTTTCTTTAAAATGTAGATTTTCTTCCTGACAATGTCAGACAATTTCAGACATGCGAAACATATAATAATGTGTAATTCTTCTTGAATTTGGTGTACAGATAGATCTTGAATTGACAGATCTGTCAGATCAGCACAAACTACTTAAATTGGAGTCTACTTGAAGAGTTATGTCCCTTTACTTTCTTTTTCAAGATAACATGATTCAAACAATTTTCTACTTGAGTCATCGAATTTGTCAAAATCTGTCTAACCATAATTTACATACAATGTACATGGAGGTGGGGGGGAGGGGCTGAAGAATCGGGGATTTTCTTTCATGTCTACTACTTGGGGGACATTGAACAGACCAAAATAGATCTTCTGCTCCCATTGCAACACACTTGGGATCTTAAATTTTTCCTTTCTTTCTTCACTGTTCTGCCTTCCCTTATTAGTCATGCCGCCTGAGAAGCATGGCGAACACTTAAGGATCAGTCTGTCCGTCATCACACGTTGTCGTTGGCGGCGGCAGTCACATTTAAGTTTTCCAGACTTTTTTTCGCCACCATTTACCATATCAATTTGTAACTTTGTATAGGGCTTAATCATAATAGATTACAGATCAAGTTCGAACTGCGTGCCAATATTTATTTTTTGCTGGAGTTACATGTATGGCCCTTCACTCATTGGAAGTTCTCATAATTAACTGTTTGCCATACTTTGTTCGTTACCGCTTGCCACTTAGTATGTGGCTTTATCATAATGGATTACAGTTAGAGTCCAAACCCTGTGTCAATATTTCATTTGTTGCTGGAGTTATGGCCCTTCGCACATAGGAAATTATCAAAATAAACCTTTTTTTGGCCTTATTTCGCTACCGCTTGCCATATCAATTTGAAACTTTGTTCGTGGCTTTATCATAATAGATTACAGTGTTTGAACCATGTATTAAAATTCCATTTTTGACTGGAGTTATGGCCCTTTTGCACATAGGAAATTCTCATAATTAACTGTTTTCCATATTATTTGCAACTTAGTATACATGTATAATGGTTTACAGTTTGAGTTAGAATCCAGTGTCCATGTTCTATTTTTTCTGGAGTTATAGCCTTTTGCACATAGGAAATTCTTATAAGTAACTGTGTTTTTTCCATAATCACATGCACTTCCTTCGAATTGCAGTTTTCTTCTATAGGTGACACCCGTCCTCATATGACCCTGGCTGAGGACATAAATCACCTGAAACAGTACATCCTTTGAAGTCCTTCTGTATGGCTTGATGATGTTTTCAAACCAATGGTCTGGAGCATTACTTGGTTAAGAAGACTGAATGCCGTTTAACAGAGGGTCGCTCTCAAAATACTCTGGCTCCCTAGGGGGAGGAGTTGGGTCCCAAAGGGGTATTCTCCAATTCAATTACACAATTTGTTGTTAGGACCCCTGCACATCTTTAGTTATCAGATTTTACGTCTGTCTGTCCTTTTATCTTTTTTTAGCTCACCTGCCAAGGACAAATGAGCTTTTGCCCTGGTGCAGCGTCCTGTCCCGTCCCGTCGCGTCGCATCCCGATTCAATGTAAACACTTAGCAACTTCATTCATTGACAGATTTTGGTCAAACTTAATACAAAGGTCAAGTATGGGAATACTTCGGACATCTTTGTATTTCAGGGATCCAAGGTCAAGGTCACACTTGCTATATATAGAAAATCATCAACTGATTCAATTTAGCACTTAGCAACTTAATTCTTTCACGGATTTTGGTCAAACTTTATACATAGGTCAAATATGGGTATACCCTTGTGTTTCAGGGTTCCAAGGTCAGGACAAGGTCACTGTTGCTATATATAGAAAATCAACAACTGATTCAATTTAAACACTTAGCAACTTCATTCGTTCATGGATTTTGGTCAAACTTTATGCAAAGGTCAAGTAGGAGTATGCTTCGGACATTGTTGTGATACAGGGTTCCAAGGTCAAGGCCAAGGTCACTGTTTCTATAGAAAATCATCAACTGATTCAATTTAAACACTTAGCAACTTCATCAAATATTGTATGGAGATGGTAATAACATACAGAAAAAACATATGAATATTAAAGTCAATTTATCAACTTTAAGTGTAGAACCTTGTGTGTGTGCATACATGGACTTTATCCAGTGTAATAAAATGTTTGTTTAAGCTTTTTGATAGCTTTTCAGCCTTTGATATCAAAGGTCAAGGTCACATAAATAGAACATCAGTTTGTGCACTGTATTTCAAATTTTGTTGGACTGATTACACTCAGATCTTATCGAGTCCTTTATGGAAGAAAGTGCCTGCTTGGGATAACTTTTCAGGTCTAGTGGTCAAAGGTCAATGGGTCACTATAAATAGAAAATCTGTTTAATGCACTAATGCACCATATCTTGATTTCTCTTGGGCTGATTACACTCTTGACTTTATACAGTGCCTGCTTTGGATAACTTTCCAGGCCCGGGGGCTAGGTCTCTATCACTGTTACTATATGAATAGAAAATCAGTTTATAAAATGCACTATAATACTTATATTTTGGGTTCTGTTGGGCTGATTACACTCAAGACTTTACCCAGTGCTTTTATAAAAACAACACTTGCTTTCACTAGTGTTTGCTACATGTATACCTAACCACAGTTTCTTTTAAATCTTCAATAAGCATACTTATGGAGAATAGTCATGGCGGCATTGAAAATATATATATAAATCTTATTACCGGTTAGCTTGTAATAATAATAATAATAAGGACCGATATTTCTCATTAGCATATGATTTGTTTTACAGCTATCGATGTCGTGTGTAGCTCCTGTTTCATTTTGATGTAAACTATATAAAGTAACGAGAAAGAGAACAAATCATTTTAGAAATTGTGAAAACCATACATATTTTGCAGTTTCCATGTATTTTAATCCGTCTTCCACATCATTGATACTTAATTAGAAAAGTTATATTTTTTACATTTGCGAATCCCGTAGCACTGCTGATTGTATTACAAAATCGATAAAACTCTATCTACAAAAGTTTTAGTAGCGGATATAATAGCTTATCCCTGAAACAAGGTTAAATGCATCTTACCAACTGTTTAATTTTTCATCGGAACCAACGTAAAAAGTGTTGCTGTTTAAACCATTGTTTATCCTGCGTTATGAGAATGTGAAAACAACTTCACTTCAAACCTATCGACATAGAATATAGTTACTTAATACGATACTTTACCACAAAAACATGATTCGTGAAAATTTGCAAGAAATACAATGTTCGCCTTTTTAGTTAGGAGGTATAATTCTCACTTCACAGTCTCGATGTGACTTGATGTGTCTCAAATGCTTGTTTAACTAGATGAGCAGTGTCCTTGGCACATCCCCAGTGGAAGGTCACGCCGGACCCGCTGTGTCCGTAATTGTGAATCACCTGGAAAGATAGGGATAGAAAAATAGTTGCCTTTATGATTCATGGAAGCTATATTAAAACACATGATTATTTTAATATATAGAGACCCATGACGTTATATATAAGATGAAGACATGTGACCCTCAATTTTATGTGGAGCTACAAAATTGTTGTTTTATGAAGGATTGGAATTAAGGACGTTTCGATTCAACCTTCCACATACTGATTGTTATTTTAACCTCCAACATGTATGCTTATTATTATATAGCTATAGTAGTGTGCGTTTCATAGCACTGATTATAGAAAATGTCGGTCAAATATTGCCAAAAAGTCATATATTGTTAATAATAATTTGTATTATATTTTAGAGATTTGTGACTTAACATAACAATCAAAATGTAAATATTTGGAATTGTGAATATTATTTGTTGGTAGTTTTAAACGTCGTGGGTAGTTTAAATACATTGATAACGATTGCATAATTAACATGTTTGTTCATCTTAAATGATTAAGCTTATCCAGTTACGTGCTTATTTTCCATCGTATTTAACAACATCTTATATTCCTATCTTTTTATACTTAAATGTACATGGACCTGTGACATTATTTTTTTTATATTATTGATGAGATAAACAAATAATTGTTTAACATTAATTTAGTCACATATGTTTCGCGGGAAAGCCAGGTTACTGTTATTTATGAGCGAAGAACGAGCGAAAAATAACGGTAAATTCTGCCGTGCAAGTGAACATTAATGCAGAAGTCAACTGGAAAAGCATCCCATTTTTATATTTCATACCTAGAACAACAACGTTGAAACTCGTACTGCATCAAACAAGTGCAGATAGTTTGTACCGCCACATTTGACAAGAAATCTATGTGGATATTTACAATATGTATAATAGGGTTCTAAGCACGTGTCTGCTGTTTTCTGCTAAGACGAGATCAGGTTTCCTAACAAAAATGTATTTCAGTGTATATTTACCATACATGTGTGTATTTTATTATGCATTCGTCTGTTGTTGCATCTATATCTGAAGTGAAAATATTTTTGAATGCAACATAGAAGGTATCATCTGACTGGCCATTACAAAAAGTAATATCCTCGCATGTGATACCATTACATTCTTTATTTCTTCACTGCAGTGAATATATGAGTTTAATAAATAAGATTTTTGTGTTTACCGCAAAAAAGGTAATAAATGAGAGATTACATTAACCACACTGAACGATCGGAATCTTTTAAATGAATTAAAATGTCGTTTTTCACCGCAAAACGATACTTTTCACAAGTGAAAAGAAACGAAAAATATTCGTGGATTTGGATTTAAAGCCAGAATACAAAACCATTAAACATCATGACCATACAGAAGATTTGAAAGTTGCGTATTCGACATTATCCTTCATTGTGACGTCATAGAATACAGAGTCACAAGCTGAAGTTCCACCATGTTAAGTGATTTGACTTCCTGGGTTTGTTACAGGGTTATATTTTCATTTTAAAGGTTTTATGAATATGTCATAAACAGTATTAAGTGGTTTCACACTTAATTTCGTTCATACTTCACTCGTATGGCAGAATACTGCAGTGTTTTGACAATACCAGTATATTGTCAAATAAATGAGAATGCGTGTACTTTAAAAGTATATTATTCTATATTGGCTTTGTTATTATAACTAAATATGACTGTAATTTATCAAACAATAAATACTATAAGATAACATGAAATGATGTTATTTGTTCCAGAACAACGTTAACCTTGATCTCTAACTTGCTGCATCAAGTTCGGTACAGCAAATATATGTCATTACTAAAAACACGCACAAACAAGTGTTTCTTAAACAAAGCAGTAGGTATATTGAATATGAACTTTTATTATACCAAGCTTACTTCTGAATATCCCCTATTTCTGTTCTTTAGTTCAAACTTTGTTTTATTCACATAACATATGTAATACATAATACAAACATGATTAGATATAAATGAATTGGAGACAGAAACAAGTGTTAAATACACTTATATAAATCTGTTACCTTTCATCGTGACCAACATTAACAACTATTGCTTAGGGATAGTGACGTGAATAAATTACGGGGGAAGTTGTCCTTTCGTCCATTACATTGCAATAACACCCTTTATAACCATACCAAGATATTTATAAAATGTTGTAAACATTCACATTAACCTGTACAAACATTTATTGGACGTGTTGTCAAAAATTGTCATTTTCACATACATCAAATCATGACCTCTGCATTTCAGTTTTAAGAACATTTGACTCGATATGTGAGCTCTCGATAAAAATCCCAAAGACAGAATCAAACCATAAACACTGTTGTGTAAAACGACAGGTCCATGAAATATCGACCTGGGGAACAACGTAAATATGTGCCCTCTCAGAAGCATTTAGGAACAGCAACAGTTAGTGAACGTGTTTGGATAATAGCTCACACATATGCAAAAATGGGATATAATTCAAAGTCGGAAAACAATAATAAAAGACATTTCAAATATGAATGTACTCTGTTTCGATTGTCTTTTATTTAACAGTGTAAAGACGTAAAAAGTCAAAGTGGAGATTATCATGGTATTGTTGATTTATGCAATTAAGTAAGAAATTATAAGGAAAGTACCGTTTTTCTCCCAGACTTGCTTAGCTTTTCCTCGGCCTCCAAACGCACAGGTGACCGCAACGGTCGTAAACCGACCCAGTCTTGTAACCGTTTCGCCGTCTGTAAACAAAAAACATGGGTGTCAGTGAACAAAAATGTCGACATATACAGAAACCTAATACATTATTATCAGGAACACAAAGGAAGGAAGCAAAACGTTTTCGTTCAGTAAAATGACGATTAGAAATCTGCCTTCCCCAATGTCATTGATAGTTGGATACAGCTTAAACTCCGTGCTTGCGTAAGTTTGACAAAAACATCAGGATAAATGATCAAGCGGAGTGCTTCTGTTTAATAAAGTAATCACATCGCTTTAAAACAATGAACGACAGACAAGCTGTATACGTCACGTCTTTATACGATGAGTGTCTTGTAGGAGCATGATAGTACCGAAACCATGACATAGTTACTCTTCGGAGCAAAATTACAGCATGCATTGCATTTTTTTATCGAACACGTCCGTTTTCAACATCTGTTTAATACAAAAATGAAAAGTATGGACGAAATCTGTTTTATAGAACATCCACATATAATTCTGACATGCAAAGTTGCAGAAAAATCAAAACAGCATTCATATTTGATCTAGAAACATTCGCTGCATACAATCTCAAAAGTGAAACAAAATGACAACTTGTCACAAATTCATTTAAAAAATGCAATAAATTTGGCATATTTACATATCGTTTCCAAATTAAATTTTAACATCATTAGAAGTTATACTTTTTTCTGAAAAAGTTGTGAATATGGATTTTTTTTTAAACATTTTCTTCTGGTTGGTAAGTATGGATTATAAAAAGTTCTTTTTACACAACCAATAAAATGTCTGATGTCCGTATGGGTCCATTAAACAAAGCGTAGCTGAATCGTGTCATTTCGGTACATATACAACAACTATTGTAAATACGCTGACAGCGTAGTCGAATCGACATCGATGGTGTGGACAACTCGTACACATTTTAAACCTTTGTATGCATAGGCTTTTCTGGTCATTTGTCTGATGAAGGTGACAGTGTACATAGCGTACTAGTCATCGAAACGTCACATAGAAAATGTTATTCGTTGTGTAAAAAGAAATTTTCATAATGAATATGGAATATTTAAGAGTTTGCTAATTAACGACTTTCTGTTGTAAATAGATTTGTCGATGTGACTTCATTGATATCGAATAGCCATGAAAGGTCATCCAAATTAATCATGTAAATTCAACATGTGAATGTGCATTTACTAACATAGATATAGTTATATAACTTATATCTTGTTTACATTAAATAATAAATTTGATAATCAACACTGTTCGTGTTGTAATTTATCTAACAGACCAGATTTTATACATGGTATATCTCTAATGCCTTCCTGCCTTGTCGGTGACAGTATATAGCACGTCTACCGTTAAAGGATCTCTGCCCCAATGCAGAAGCTAATTTCACTGTAGTTTTCGCACATGCGGTAGCCTGTCATTGAATTTGTTTTGTAATTTTTCGGCTCAGGGTACTTCTGTTGACCAGGTAGCCTAGTTGGTTAAAGCGACATTATCGTGATCCGAGTTCAATGGTTTGAATGCTGGTCTAGTCACGTTGCAGTTTTACAGTCAGGACACGTCTGCTGCTTTTTGATGTATATGTTTGAACGTTCTGCATTGTTTTATTTTATTTTCAGACATGAATGCAACTGTTTTGATCATACATAATTTGTTTTCGGCAGTGGTGCTGTGATCCTTAAATCAATATGTGTGACGTGGTAAGATAAATGTAACAACCACTGCTTTTCTGACTGTAGCAGCATATCCTGAAAGTAAACATCGTTAGTAACAGTAAAACTTGTAACGTTATGTACCCTTAGACTTGGCACGAGTTTGCACACGTCCTCCACAATCCTCTGTTTATCTTGCCCATCTACGCTAGTGTTCCAGTCATCAAATTGCCCTGTACCACCAATGGTGACAGTATCCGGCCTGGAAAGAAAGTAGTCGAACACTTTTGTTAAACTTGAAAGAAAACAAATAAAAGATGGATCAAATACAAAAAAAAAAAAAGTTAATCAATTTACATCGCTATAATATTTCTATGTCTAACTCGTTTTAAACCAATACTGCAAATCAGCAGATAATGGAATTTGTTTACTTCATGCTTATTGATTTGAATTGATTTCGCGTAATTATATCATATCTTAAAAAAAAATACATTTAATGTCAGTGGTGATGATTGTGTTTACTATCTTATGAAATACACACAAATTGATGATTTTCTATTCGAAAACATATATTCCAGATATGATTTAAATATTCAAACATTCTTAACATCAGATTGATAGCTTGGGTCGCTCTTAATGCTTTGTCACTCTTGCAATAGACTCACATTACAGTCTACGACAGCAGGTGAAATGTCCTTATGCTGTCGTACATTAAATATTTATATGATTAAATAATTTCCCCTTACCCTGGAAGTATGTATACTTCTTTGTGGTCATCTGTAGGATCTGGGTTCATGTAAAAATGTTTAACCCAGGGAGCAGCTACCTTAATATGAAAATGAAAAAAAAAAGATAATAGATAATTTACTACAGTTAATATCCAAAATGGATGCAGTTTAATACATAGAGGTAAAAGCCATCATTAGAATTACGAAGATTGTTGGTCAATATAAAAAGCCCCACAAAGCAAACACTTTACTGAACCAGATGGCCGTTTCCTCCATTTAGGACTCGTCAGTGATACTAAAGGTCAATCAATTCAAAATAAATCTCTATAGTAATCCATAATATACCAAAACAATACAGTGAAATGGGAAAGGTGTCTCCAAAAGCCATTATAACGTTATGAATTTACTACTTTTAACTGCAATACATTATTCTTACATAAGTATTCCATGAATATATCTAAAAACCAATTAATACTCATAACATGCTTATTACGTGTAGTAATATAAACACGTCAGTTAATACTTAAGATAAAATTACAAGTAATATAAACACTTAACTACCGTCTATATAATAGGATTATAAAACATTATCACTAGAAATACGGAGATATGCAGCATCTTACTGAAACAATTTATTAAAAATAAAAGTAGCATTTCACTGCATCATATATCTGTTTCGTTAATTAAGTACTCATCATTGAAAAAAACAATTGCATGTCAAAAGTGTTCCGAAATATATCAAGAACTATAGATAAATAGACACACGATTTTTTTCATCATAAGTGCGTTTTTACTCACATTTCACAACACACTTTTATTGTGTTTTCTTAAGAGCTGTCCTTTAGGTAATTATAAAACAGTCATTAACGGAACACAAAACATGCACAAAATAATTCCTGATTATACAATTTGTCGAGTAACTTGGTTTATAATTCGCACTAAGCGAAGAAAACATTAAATAGTACAGGCACGCATACTATCTGTAAGTATTAAAAACTCAAAGATTTTTAGTTTTAAAATATTGAAATTGAAATCTGAATAACGATAAATAACACTGAAGATTTTTTCATCTTTTATCGAATGTAGTAGAATCGTTGGTGTCAACGTACGAAAATATTGTTGATATACAAACCTTTATTACTTGACCTCTGAGCGGGTGGAGCCGTGAATCATTGCATAGTTGGTTAGCACCCATCCCAGAGCAGTTCACGACAATGTCATATTCTTCTGTTAGCTGAGGAAAGTAAAAAGGTAAATTGCAGCTTTATTTATTGAAACCCAACAGTAGAAACTGAAAACTGTTGACAAAAGATCAAAGATACATTTGTATATATAGGACAACATTTTCGACAGAAGACTTAAGAGGGAAATTTCGAGGAGATGCTCTGAAATGAACGTCTAACGTTTTACTCGTCGAGTTAACCTTTGTATATAACATTTTTTTTATTTAACTGTCTATCGTTATGACATAAGAAAAATAACCGCAAGCTTCTATATGAATTGAAAATACGAAACTTACAAGAAACGAAAGAAGTTAAAAAAAATTGCAACGAAAGGCATTTATCGATTAAAGTATACAATCATATCATAATTCAATGCAATATACACTGTATATTCGTATCTTCCTACCTCATCCATGTTTTGGATTTTTTTATTCCTTAACTTTCCACCTTTATCGAGTATCCTAAAAAAGAAAGTTGGCTTTCATACAAATGTGAAATTAGAATTTTTAGAATATACAAAATGACATCATATTTTACATTGATCATAAATTTATTCTTGAATATAATAAAACATATATCGTATCTATTGTAAGAAATTATCCTGTTATGATTTCATTTAGAACAGCCAATATATACTGAATGCAATACAGATTCGCTATAGACTAAATAATATACATATAAAACATCGAATTAGTATGCGTATTAGTCAGAATCGTTGTGAGCAAAATACTTATATATTACATTGTAACCCGTGAAACATCACGTATTTTCTATTCGCTAAATATCATTATCCTGACTGCAAGGAATAGATACAAAACGTTATTAACTTCAATTTATTGACGCAATAACAAATTCCTCTTAACACTTTAAAAGTACTAGATAATTTCACTTTTATTGCAGAAACTGCTGTTATTTTTACTCATGCCTGATATCGGTATTTTGCCATACTCCTGATATACATGTTTGCATGGTAATCAACGGTAAACTATTTAATGTCCTCTATGTATTTGAGGAATTCGTCGAAGTACTTCTCTGTAAACCATACATACTAATATACATTATGGTTTGAATAACACTAATGAGAGCCATACTGGTATATGCCAGCCATATACAAAACATTATTTGAATTACCTACATGTATTTGTGGTCCATGTATATCGATATACTTTTGGGATTGAATGTCCTCTTTGTGAACCAGATATATTAATATACAAAGGGATTTGAGTTAACTCTTTGTGAACAAGGTATATAATAGACATGGTGATTTGAATTAACTCTTTGTGAACAAGGTATATTCATATACATGGTGATTTGGATTAACTCTTTGTGAACAAGGTATATAATATACATGGTGATTTGAATTAACTCTTTGTGAACAAGGTATATAATATACTTGAGGAATTTCAATTACCTCTTTGTGAGCCAAGGAAGGAAACGCTTAACATCCATTATTATTGTCGTAAAGAAATACCCATCTCTGAAATTAATCAACAAATGTGTTATTAAAAAAACATCTTAACAGTATTTAGTAAAACAAAGTGCAGATCAGTTTTTTTGTTCTAATAATTGAATTGAACAAACGGTATAACAAAGCTTTGCATTGGATAACAAATAAGCTTTTGAATGTATACAGTTACCATGTTTACCAGTAAATTCACCTTTGCCGGTTTTATTGTCCATTACATAGCAATTACACAATTTATTTGACATATGTTTACCGACACGATGAAAACACATTCGGCTACAAAATCTAAGTTCAATTTTATATATAGATGAATATTCAAAAAACTGTATTCTGAAACAGACTGACCTGGCATTAGGGCATATGTTGAGCTCCTCTGGTGTCAGCTGTCGGAAACCTATTACTTGGTCTTTCCATGGAGGTTCCTTACAACAAATAATTGAATACTAGAAACACAACACATGTTCAACAATTTCAAAATTATTTTAACTTTGGAGTAAGACATTGAAACAAAGCATTCAGACTTGTTCATTTAAATTATACTCTCAGAACCTTCTATGAAATATAAAACAAGGAGGTTTTTTTCTTACTCGAGTTAAATATATCCAATATTCCACTGGAAGGTATATCATTTACTGTACTATATGTACATTATTGTGAGTTGAGACCATAATCATATATTGTTTCAACACTGTGTTTCTTTCACTGGGTATCATATCGTATCTATAAATGCTGTATATTGTATCAAAAAATGTGTACCCTACCCTACCTGCGTATTGTATCAAAAAAAGTGTACCATACCCTACCTGTGTATTGTATCCCTAAATAGGAATTAGATCGTACATGTGTTATGCTTCTAACAAAAAAAGCATCCTACCCTACCTGTGTACTATATCCTTTAATGTCTATATTAATGGGTATTTTACCTTGCCTGTATAAGCTGACTCCCTCACAAAGTAGTATCCAGACACAAACTGTATCCCAATGTCACCAGCTAGCTCGGAATGACCAAGCCTTTTAAGGTATTCGAACGTATCACCACACCATCGGCTACCGATAAAATAGACAAGCTCTGGTACATTTAAGAGTTAATTTTCAAAAACGTTTTTTTTCTCATCACCCAAAATAATGAAGTAACTTCACCTATGTACATGAACTATATCTGCAATTAATTGTAAGGCGCGGTAGTCTAGTGGTAGGACGCCGGGCTCGTGACCGAAGGGTTGCGGGTTCGAGTCACGCCACGGCACGGTGTTGTATCTTTGAGCAAGATAACTTACTCAGCTTGTTCCAGTCTACTCAGCTGTAAATGAGTACGTGGTTGGGCAGTCCTAGAATTGTTGAATGCTAGCTGTGAGCGCCGAAATGGCAGTTTGGCTGTATGCTCCCCAGGGAGTTGAGAAATGTATTGGCTGACTGCAAAGGCCCTTTAACCACGGATAATAGTTTGTGAACCGCTTTGAGACGACCTACGAACTAGGTTGTGATAAAGCGGTATATAAGAACCTCCATTTTTTATTACTACTAGTATTAGAAAGCAGTGAAACTAGAAAAAAATCCATTAAAATATCAAACATGTTACACTTGAGTATGTTCCAAAATATTAAAAAAAGGCATATAAATTGTCTTTATTACGACTGTCAATAGGGTATTTGTTAATGATATTTTGACAATATTTAAATGAAACACACAGTAATATATGTCCATACTAACAAACATTTAACTAAGTCACTGTTAAGTACTATATGTCATTTTATAATTCAATTACTGTCATTCGGAATTAACTACACAATTAAATTTAGGGGAGATTACTCTAGCAAAAAAGTATAGCCAGCTGTGCTTACAGGACGTTTGTATTTGATGGGTCAATCAGGTATGGCATCCAGAAGCCAGCACAATTGTCGGACAGCGTGTGCGGGGTAAATGTATCAGCCACCACTGTTACGTCAGCATCTGGCACGAGCTCCTGGATACACACAGCAGACGACAGTCCTATCACCCCAGCACCCAGCACACACACGCGACGAGGCATCTATCCAAGTGAATTCATGAAAGTAACATTTTAAATCGTAATAAAATCATTATAAATGGTACATTTTATGTTTTGCAGAGATTATATTCTCAATATCTGTTTCGAGATATATTTTACCTAGGATTACCAACAAATGTGAAGCCACAAAACTATAAGTTATTTTCCCTTTACTTTCCATTTAGGAAGTACCATGACTGTGTGGATGTCATGCTAGAGTACACTCATTTCGACTAAATGGCACACTTCATCAGTAGACGATTAGCACTGTGGTCATAGAAGAAAATCCGCAAAAAAAAAATATACCCTTGTTTACAAACGTTCCACAACTGAACACATTTCTCGATATCGAACCAAACAGGAATGTGTGCCAACCAAACAGGAATGTGTGCCAACCAAACAGGAATGTGTTCGAACCAAACAGGAATGTGTGCCAACCAAACAGGAATGTGTGCCAACCAAACAGGAATGTGTGCCAACCAAACAGGAATGTGTGCCAACCAAACAGGAATGTGTGCTTAATTTAAGATCAACTACCCCGTATACAATACGTATGATGTAGGACCCTGATTAAACTGAGGTAAATAATTTCGACAACATTTTGAGAAGCTCTGATTTATGTATGGGATAGAGAAAGATAGGCCCTGGCCTATGCAATTAACACAAAGCAGTGTGAATTATGTGTTCTTGCTGGCTTTATACGAAAATTAGTATTATAGTTAGCGTATCGGAGCATTAGGTAAAAATGTAATTTATACAAGACATTTACACAGACATTGTGGCCCTTTGTTTAAAGCGCAACTACAGATATGATATGTTTAATCCATTTAAACGTATATGGCTAGTCTTAGATCTATAGACCTGATTGGTACTACATGCGTATGCATAAGCACAAAGACACAGGTCATTTACTACCCCACAAATTACACGATCATTTGATCAGTAACACTGTAATACCAAATCAGCACAGAATATATATCAGAAACATTCGCATTGCATAATATGAGCATCGATCTCAGCAAAATAAAACATTTTTTTAAATAGCTTTCAGTGGTGTGTCGCTCTTTATTAGATGAGCTTTGATTACCGCCTTCACATGTCAACTTCGCGTACAGTTGAATGTTCAGTTCCGTCATGAAGCTATGTACACGTGTAAACTCTTTAACCCTAAGGAACGGAAAGAGACCTGTAACACAACCACTACAGTCAGTAATACTACAGGCTATCAAATAGGTTGTACTACAAGAATGTCGTGTATAGGAACACAGTATACTTACCGTTAGATTTCAGAGAGTGTGTGTCTGTGTGTGTTTTGCTTCCGCTAACCTCATTCCATTTGATCCGAACGAAAAACCTCAGTCAAGTTTCATGTAATCTAAACATCGGCACGTATTACTCTGCGCTATATATAGATGTATTGTGTTGTAACAGTCAGACGACACAGACCACGTGTGCCTGTCTAATATAACGATACTGTCATGTTTACACAGCAAAGCACCGCAACCTTCATACCTGTAGCTGTGTTGGTTAGTTATCCCTTCTTTAACACAGATACGTCCTATTTACGTTAGCACATAAAAGACTGGAGGTTTAACTACACGTCCGGTTAGAGAAAATGTATCATAAATCCTTCCGTTGCCAATGCGTTGCCATCAATCATCACTTAGTGGATAGTGTTGCTACGGACTCACAATACGGCATGATAAAAGCAAGCACGTAAGCAGATGTTGGGGTAGTTGTGTTATCACTATACCATGAATAGATCTTTCGATCCATGTGCGACATGTGTGTGAAAGTGACGATTTGTTTCTAAAATATCAGTTTGAAGTGCGACCCGGGCGCGGGTCGCTTATTTCCCGCATATTATTGAGGGCCGGAGTTCTGACGTTAATCAACGACAGACCGATATAACAAAAAGTCGATAAAACGTCAGAATAATTCGGACTCTCCTTTAAGCAGACAGTTTGGCAAAGGAAGTAAACAGCTTCTTTTCCTACTTTACTAATAAAGGTAAATATAAAAAAAGGAAACAAATCTACTGAGATTTCTATATGCCATTTCTATCAAAACAAAAACAAAAATAGTGTTTACGTTACGGTACATCATTTATCCCAATTTTGAATTACATAATAAAATAATATATTCGATTTATACCAACGAACAAATCTTGCAAGACACCATCCTCGATAACCCATGAGTTACGCTCACCTACGCTCTCGGTAACCCTGGGGTATATGTCATCACAAAATCGAAGGCTCCGTGTGTGTGCGCCACCTTACGCCAGGTTAACGATACAATTAACTGGCTTTTATTTCGGGTAACGCTCCTCTGCAATCTTCAAACGACAAACGTCATCTAAGTGAATTGTCATGGTTTTGCAAACCTGAGATTAACTCAAATAGCTAGCCAAGTCCCCTAAATTTTGTTATGGCACATCCCGTGGATGCAGAAAACGTAATTGAGAGTAACCCCTGGATCATTGAGGATAGTGGAAACAATAGCCCACCACTTGCAAATGTGTGTTCTAGTGTGAATGATTTGACTTGTTTCAGTTAATGCTTACAGCATCTTTTATTTGATTCTGCTTTTTGCAGACTTCACCGTCCAATACATTTTTGTGATCATTCTCATAACTCAATGGTGGGTGGGTGGGGTGGGGGTGGGTAGGTATGGGGTGGACGTGGGGGCGTTTTCTTCAGCTGGTTTCTTACGTCTACAGCCCGACCAATTTGGCTCCCGTAACGACCTCAGAGTGCTGGGAAGAAGCTATACCTAAACGTATTTTTAGAGGAAAAAAGATAGCAATATTTAAAAGAGTGATTACGTCGGATGGTAGATGTAGAGGCTTCCAGGTAGTCCTCGGCTCGGATGTTTAATAAATCATGTGTAATTTTGTACGTGGATGTTATCTGGATCATGATCCGATTGTAAGGACTGTATCATGTCGGATACACTGCTGGTGTTGCGGTATATGTCAACATGTCGATTCTCTTTGAACTATTTCCTCCTGGTCAGTCACATTTTGGTTTTAGGGCTCGATACAGAAGAACAACATTACAAGTTGGAGCGAACAAGTATGAAATATGTACGGGCCTTGGTATCTTCTTTAGGCGTTTTCAGAGTCCTTCTAAGGAATCCAAGGGTGCTGTTTGTCTTCTTACATACTCCATCAATATGATGTTTCTATTTATGCTGGCACACTTGTATTTTAAGGAAGTGTTTTTTAATAGCGTACTTAGCTTTGTGATCGTCCTGTTCTTTGTGATCCTCAGGACATTACACTTATCTAGAGGGAACTATTCCCCACTTTTTCCTAGTCAGCCAGTTCTGCTAGGTCTTGTTGCAATATGTCACCGTCTTCTTTTCCTCTACGAATTATGTTACCTTATATGTGATGTTGTTAGGAACGTCATTTATGAATAGAAGAAAACGGAGAGGTGCGAGATAGGTCCCCTGTCTCGATCAAGTGACAACTGATGCGTCTCCTGATGTTGTTCCTTCTACCATGACCCTTTGAGTTGGCCCTTCTAGAAAGCTCTTTATCCAGGAATTAGTTCGCCCACGTATGCTGTAGAAGTCTAGCTTCCTCAACAAGCGCTGTTGTGGAACCCGGTCGAACACTTTGGAAAAATCCAGGATAATGAGATATTTCAGCAGGCCGGAGTCGATGTTGCTTTAAAGGTCATGGCAGATTGTTAGGAGCATGGGTATCACATCAAAAGAACAGCTCAAACGAGCGTTGTGAATGAGTGGTAATCCTAAACACAAGGCAAATTCACACATGCTGGAAAATGGATGTAGCACCGGGCATAGTGTCACAATTGTCAGTAGTTTGTCCATTCTGTAATTAACAAACCACCGTATGACGTCAATCGTTTAGTTTACTGGTGATGTGCTCGACGTCTTGTCAATGTTGATATTGACATCCTACACTTCTCAACCCAGCCTTACTGATATAACACAATATTTATCTTGCTTTTAAGCTAAGCTAAACATGTGCATCATTTGAAAAAGAAAAAGGTCCTTCTTTATATTCAGGAGAAAGACTCTGGTCAGCAGAGACATATAAGCACACAAAGACTTGCCGTTACTTTTGTACTGTATAAGAATCATAAACTTCCGCTGCCAAGTCTGTACTCCTAAGGTATCGATATGTATGTAGCAGAACTTGGCGGGATCGATCGTCGGCAGTAAGGTCGGTCAGTTGGTAGAGCGTCCGTATAGAGATCAAAGGGTCTTGGATTCGAAACCCGGCTTGACATTTGCATCTCTCTTTCTTCTGTTACAGAATTGACGAGCTTGCCAACCCTTATTTCAAGCACTGTGTTAACACTTAGCAAGGGGATCCGAACCTGAGTTGTGTCTTCGGGAGGCGAAGACTTAAAAAAAGAAGGGAGGAAATAGTGGAACTGGACTGGATCTATCGTCGGCAACCAGGAACTCAATTGGTAGAGCGTCCGTCTAGAGTTCAGCGGGTCCCAGGCTCGAATTCCGGTCTGGCCGTTGCAGTTCTCTTTCTCAGTTACATATGTTTGTTTTGTATCTTGGAAGTTTAAAACTGCAATGTAATATAATTGCATTGTGGATTCATTGGATTGCGTGTACATTTGTATCTTATAGTTATTGTTATATAGATTTACTGTAATACGTATATACTGTGTCATAATGTTAAGAAGCGCTATAGGTTGACAGTACAATCATGCAATAACAGATTTGTTTGATTTGTCTATTAATTGCTATTGAAACTGCTGATATTGTTGAATGACTGTATATATATATCAAATGATGACATTGGAATCAACTGACTGGTTTACGTACCAGGGACACGGTGCAATCTGATTAAAATCATATGTTACATGGCTTCGTTAACTTCGTACTACGCAGGCAGAGCCATGTAACAGATGATTTTAATCAGATTAAAGGCATATTATGGTCATTGACTGTGACAGTATTACGTCCGTATTATACGGACTATCGGCTTATTAGCAGACGGGGGGTGGGGGGGGGGGGGAGTTTCAATGCATGTTATGCCATTACCGCTGAATAAAATGGCAAAAATTCGGCAAAAATCCTATTGTTGATATAGGAGAAGTCGTTCTGGATGGTACATCATGTGTTTAAATAAATATATCAATATACCGTTTGGAGAGACGTTCCATCCTTTCATGAAATAATTACAAACGGGCAAACACGTTCGTATCCGAAAGATTGGATGGCCAAACGTACCCCGCCTTCGGCCAAGTTAATTTGGACAGGCAGTCTTGGGTTTTTTTGGCCCACGTTAATATGGAATCAGTATAATTATGACGTCATAAAGCATGCGACGTCAGATTTTCCAGCCAATATCCCGAATTTCCGTGTGTTGCGTGGGCCGAAGCTAGTAATCTACCCCAAATTTCAATTGATTCGTATATTACAGCAATTCGAAAGTCAATATTTGACATGTATGTATATTATCATGTGAAGGAGCTGTCAGTGTATTACACGTATGACATAAATATGTAGCGTTTCGGTTTACAGAAAGTTCGTATGTATCTACATGTACGTTTACATGTATGCATATGTAATGTAAGTCATAATTCCAAGATACAATAATTTTTATTCAACGTCGCATATTTAAAACAGTAAATATTAGCGCACTGTAGTGCTATTCTTGTGACAAACAATGAATACAATTAAGAAATAACATGGATGAATAGTAAGCAGGTAAATGCAAAGCTAGTTAAGAAATAGCAAGTAAATATCAAAGGATATTTTAACAAGTAAAAAAAAAGGGGGGGGGGGGCAGGTTCACAGTGTAAATTTGTAGGGGGCCTAAAATTTACTTTTAATTTAAATGCACACATAAGCATTCATAGAGAAGGTAGAAAAATTAAACTTAAACAAGGACTACTGGGAACAGATCCTACTTTTACACAGATCGCCGTCCCAGGGGCGAAGCAGCCTGCAAAACGTTCCCTAGTTTTCCGCACTTCTAAGAGCGTTTGACAGGCTGTTCCACACCCGGGTCGTCTCAAATCTGAAGGATCTCTTTCTGTAGCCCTCTGTGTTTACCCTTGGTATGCTGGCAGTCTGTTGTTGTCTGAAATTATAATTAAAATAATTTAGTTTAATAAGGTCATATATGAAATCAGGTGCCATTTTTTTTACAATTTTGAAAACTTCTTTTGGCATAACGTTTTGCCTGTTTACATTTAAGAAGTCAAGTTTGTGTTTTTTCAATAATGTTTTTTAAGTTGACAAATAATAGTTTTCAATAAATCAGTTTGCCCTTTCCTGTATCTTTTCCATTTTCCCCGAGTGTAGTCCTAACTCGAATGCACAATGTTAAATGATACAAAATCCAATCACATGAAAAGAAAAAAACGACACTACACACCTACAAATTATCCCTATATTTCTTATACATAGCTACATAGTACCTCAGATGTGTATGCGCTGACGTTCTGTGCTTAAGAGAAACTTCTTCCTATCCATTTACACTTAAGCTACTTTCCCACATAGACGATCTTGGTCAAGACCAGGCACGACTTGAGCATATCTAGGCAGCCGCGCTCAGTCGCATTAATATTGCGGTCGGGAACAGGATCGTGATCAGTCGTACATGTATGTGATCGGTGGTTGTCTAGTGTGGTCGTGTTGAGGTCCTGATAAAGGTCGTGATTGTGGGAAAGTAGCATAACACTCCAATCTACTTGTAAAAGTAGCCTATCACAGTACAACCATGCTTACGTATTTACGGTCCAGTGCACTGCTAGCTGGGTGTGTTTATCACCGAGTTGGATATGTATCGAATACTTCATGTGAACTCATATTTTTAGGGCTGTGATTGTGTTCTATATCTGTGACCTCTAGATCTTGTAACGCACAGATGTGTGTCTGAGTGAACAATATGTAATCTTGAAATGTCCTTGTATATATTCCTTCTGAAAAGTTTTGTCCGGTATATATATATAGTAACGGCACGGACTTCGATCTTATCTAATTCCGTGGTAATGGCAAGATCTACCCATTAATGCGTAACATATGATAAACAGAAGTTTGAATATAAAACGGGTCACACTAGACTGGCTTCCAGCCCCTAAGTTTTTATGAAGGATTTCCTGGCTACATTTCACTTCTAGCTTATCTCCCCTAGATTAGAACTTACGATTAGACATCCAAGTGATAATTGCTGATGTGGCATCGTTGAAATCGAGTTCAAGCTTGTGGTGATGCATCATTGTTACTTATTATTTCCTTAATCATAACTGTGTAGCAATATCTATGGAAATAATGGGTTTTAAAATTTTAAAAACAAATCCACTCGTTTCTAGCTTATCTCCCCTAGAAAAGGGTTGAGCCCTTGTAGATAAAAGGGTTGAGCCCTTCCGTTGTAGAGTTTGCATAAAAAACTCAAACACTACATTGTTTTTGGTTGAGTCACTTGATGTTAAGAATGGTGTTGGAATGTAGATCCAGTCTTAATACCAAAATGAGGGGTTGAATTTCCTCGGGTGATTTCTCCAGAACTTGTTAAGTCTTTCCTTGAAGCAGCTTAGGCTCGGTGATGAGACCACTTCCTCAGGCAACGAGTTCCACGGTTTAATAATGCGGTTGCTAAAGAAGTTTCCTGTGATCAGCTTTTTGTAGGGCCTTTTAAACAGCTTTTTGGAGTGCCCCCTTGTAGATTTGTATTCGCAGTGTTGGAATAGTTTATCCTTATCAAGTTTGTCGATGTTATTAAGGATTCTGTACACTTTGACCATGTCTGCTCTCTCCCTCCTGTATTCCAGGGTTGGTAGACCGAGTATTCTTAGATGTTCAGCCTATGATTTGTTTGTTAGTGTCGGTACTCTTTTCGTTGCTCTTCGCTGGACTTTTTCAATTATAATTTTGTCCTTGGTATACAGGGGTGACCAAATCGTTGAAGCGTATTCAAGGTGGGGCCGTATAAGAGCTTTGTAGAGTGTTACAAATATGGTTGGGCTCATATATGTAAAACTTCTGAATACTGCTTTGCTTTGCCGGCTGCTTTTTGGACGTGTATGGAAAAATTGAGTTTTTCGTCGATGTGAACTCACAGATCTTTTTCACTTTTCACCGTAGTGATTTCGATGGTGTTTCCGTATTGCGTCAGCGAGTAGTTGGATGACTTGGGTTTTTGTCCAATTTCTATATGCTTGCATTTGTCCACATTCAGCTTCATCATTCAATTTTCTGTCCATTGGTACATTCTGTCGATACACTGTTGCAGTCTAGCTCTATTTTCTGGGGTTGAATTATTAGCTGATATTTTGGCGTCGTCCGCGAATAGTTTTGTAGTACATTCTAATACATCTGGCATGCCATTGATATATATCAAGAACAGAATTGGCCCGAGTACAGTCCCTTGTGGGACCCCGCTTAGTACTGGCAGACTCTTTGAGGGAGTTCCATTGATTATGACTTGTTGCGATAGTCATGTCAGGAATGTTTTAATCCAGTTTAAGATTTGTCCTTTGATCCCACATTTTTCCAGTTTGTTTGATTAGGAGCCTATGACACACTTTGTCAAAGGCTTTGCTAAAATCCATGTAGATTACGTCAACGTTTTCCCCCTCATCAAATGTCTAGTTCCATTCTTCCATGATTTCTAACAGTTGGGTGGTGCATGATTTTCCTGGAAGGAAGCCATGTTGATGTTTGGTAAATATTTCGTTTCCTTCCAGGTAAGCCATTAATTCGTTTCGGATATTTTTTTGCAGAATTTTGCATGGAACCGAGGTAAGACTTATTGGGCGATAGTTTCCTGGGTTGGTTTTGGTACCCTTTTTAAATATTGTTGTAACGTTCGATTCCTTCCAGTCTTTAGGCAATGCACCCTCATCTAATGACTTTTTGAATACGGTTTGGCTATTGCATCACATGTGTTTCGTCAATGAATTTTTGGTGTAGGTTGTCGGGTCCTGGAGCTTTGTTAGGGTTTGTTGCTCTTATGGCCGTAATAACTTTTTCTTGCGTCATTTCTATTAATTCTCGTATTTTTTGTGGGTTCTCTCCCTTAGTTCTGGTGGCTCTCTGTTGTCATCATGAACAAATATACTAGAGAAAAATTCATTCAGTAAATTATTAGAGTTATTTTTTTTTCTAAATGATTCAATATTCTAAAGACGGGGCCAGTCTAGGGTCACTCATGCTTAGTTGTGATGTAGAAAGAGTATGATTCAAAAACAGTGCGTTGCTTTCATAATGCCATGCATGCAATATACATCACAGGGACCTGAACATTTGTTACAGCTTTATTTGGACCCAAACTAAGGTGTTCAGAGTAATTTTACATGTTTGAGGGGTTAACATCGACTTTCGGTAAAAATGACACCCTAAATGATCATTTGCTCGCGATCGTATATATATATATGATCATTGGGTGTCATTTTTACCGAAAGTCGATCGAAACCCCTGAAACATGTAAAAATACTCTGAACACCTTAATTTAGATCTAAATATAGTTGTAACAAATTATCAGGTCCCTGTGATATACATAAGTACATTTATTCTTGTTCTTCTATAACGTACGTGACACGGATCGAAGTGCTGTATCGTGTGTTTATATCAACTGACCGGATGTGAACGAACGCTACCCAAAATGGAACACCTTTGAATATATATTATGCACCATTTTATATTTTGCATCAAAAAAGAATGGTATGTATTCCCAATCAAGATTTTTATAGTGTATAGTGCAGTTTTGGCAAATTTCATTTGCCTAAACTATATAATGTACTTCGTAAACATTGCTCATATTCTAGATTAAACTATTAAAAAAAATGAGAAAAAAAATCCCAGGAAAAGGAATACAATGCGACACCATAAATATCTGATCATATTTCTAAACATGGACAATAATATATATGTAATAAACAAATATTTTAGGGGGAAATTTAAATGACAACAATTTGTCATAAATTGTAAAACGTTTTTGAAATGATGAAAATTATATTGAATATGATTTTTCATAAACTAACTTATATAATGAAGTGTTTCATTTTGGGTACTCGACCAGCTTAAAATTCCAAGCGTATATATATATATGACTCACTTTAATGAGCTCGATACTGATAAGACACACGCGGTATTGATACTCAAGAAATGAATAAAATGGAGGCTAAATGCATGTACTTGTTTCTCAGTTAAAAAAGTCTTTCAGAAATTTTATTTTGGGTGCCCTCGAACTATAGCTATGTGAAGTGGTATTACAGTACAAAATTATATTTCAAAACTGTTAACGGACATAAAGATAACTATCATGACCAGTTGTTTTATCATTAAGTAACTCGATCGTGATCGGATAGGACAAAACATGTGTTAAATGAGATCGTACATGTCCGGTGCGTGCATGGTCTGATGACAGTCACTTGACAAACCGAAAGTACACTTTGTACCCTCATCACGTGATTCTGGAAGTCATGTGATTGTTTTTCACAGTCAATATGGCGACCGGAGGAGCAGGATGTCTTTTTGTTGTCTTGATAGCAGGTAAATTGATATTCCTTTTATTCTAAATTGCACAACTGTAAGTTAATTAGAATAACTATACAATTACCATTTTTGACCTAAGGTTGTTCAAAACTACCGATATATTTAATTTGTGCGCGTTTTATTAAAAATACAATCAAAGTACCGTGTACAATAACAACTTTTGAACTTACTATTTGACAAACCTAGCCCGAGTTTCCTCTGGCCCTGACACCAGACTTAGACATTTTGACAGATCAAGATGTCTGTGATTACATGGCCAGAGACAAAACTCGGGCTATGACTACTCCTATAACATAAGAGGCCGCTGGTCGGCCTTTTTTCTAGCGGATGATTTGCACCTGTCAAAAGTATCTCGCCGTGTATACCTCTAACACTGGGCTATCAACCCTACACACACGCAGGAGAAGAACACGCAATTTTTCTCTCTACAAAATAATACACCAACATATAGGAAATGCACAAACAATTTCATCCTGTAGACACCAGAACACGGCAAGGACACGACCTTAGTTACAGACATATATACACATCCAAAGACACATACAGACAATCAGTCTCATTCTTCCCATACACCATAGGAACCTGATCCTACCCAAAACAATTATCCAATCAGACACACTAGCAAAATTGAGGACATGCATCACATATAACATACTCAAACAAATACAAAATCAGCAACACAACTAACATACACTGCTTTTAACTTGTTTTTAATCCTATAGCATTTTTTTTATTTTTTTTATCTAAATCACTGTACAATTATTAATTACAATTAACACACTTAACTGCACAAGACCTAAACAATCTGTAATCCTCAATATTGAGGTACATGTAGGATGGTATAAAGATGAAGGTGAAGCCAGATTGCAGGTGATGATTTGTGCAACGTAACTGGATATTTATTGAGGCAAAGATACAGTGACGTACCATAAATCTTCCACGTAACGTTATTTTCCCATTAGATTCTCTGTTAATTTACTATTGGAAAATTGATTGCCCTGGCGCTTTTTTTTTCTTTAAAAATTCATGAAATTCAGCACAAAGTTTGAAATTATCAAGCACATCACTCCATAATCCTTTTTATAGAATTCTAACCATGATGGGGTACTTGGCAAAAGTAGATTAAATTACGACAAAATTTAGCATTGTGTCTATGAGAATGACGCAACATGTGACATTTCTGCTGGGATGAAAAGTTATCAGTAACTGAGACACAGATATTAATATGAATATTATACCAGAACAAACACATGATTATTCTCTAACAGGATGTCAACAACATTTTTAAAATCAATTGATATTCCATATTATGTTTATTTACAATATTGAATGCTACATTGTTGATACCCTCTATATATCTGAATAACTGCAGATAAATCTTGTTTGCTTTTAGGTACATAAGTCTGCATTGATTGTTCCTTTCATATGTGTCTATATTATCATTTTTACAATAAGATGTGTCTGTGGTATTGGTGCCTGAATGTTACAGCTTTATTAAATATATCTTATAACTGTATTCTTATTTTTCTTATTTTTCTGTGTCAAAAATGTTATAGCTGTACTTTTAGCACTTACCGTAGTTTAAACAATATTTTATTAACAAATATGCAGTACATAATATAAATTTGTACATAATATAATGTTAGGGATCTGGCAACAAGAGTAGGCTCTTATATTTAGCCATCTCCCAAACACTTAGCAGCTTAACAAAAAAACTTTGTTTGACTAAAATGGCTTTCATTGAAGGTAAAACCACCAATCTTGATCTGCATACTTTACAACTTATCAAGCATATTTTACTTTTGTTTTGAACTTATCATGTGTATTTATGTCTCTACTTCACATTTTGTAACATTTTTTTTCAGTGATCTGCTCATGTAGGGGAGACAACCCACCTCAATGGCCTTCCAGCTACCAGCTGACGGCTTTCCTCGAGCTGCCCTATGCAGAAATCAAAGAGCCACTCACTGCCTATTATGATGGAGTCAACAACATGAGCCGAGTAGACTATTATGGTGGTAGGCTTGATATATATACAGTACATAGTGTAACACAAGGACCAAGTTAAACTTATAAAAGGACAATGTAATTCTGAAGGCAGAGCAATTTTGTATGTACATAGAGCAGGATACATGTATGTTAAAAAGATGGTGAAGTTAAACTGTTAAATAGTTAAACTAATTTTAACATAATTTTATGGGTTATCATTTACAGCTTTATATTATCAGAAACAGTTGAGGAAAAGATATATTATTAACTGGCAATTTATGGGAAGTTTCATACATTTTTATGAAGTTGTTAATATATGACATCGATCAAGTATATATATATATATATATATATTATATAAAGAAAAATTCTTAACAACTAGTCTTAAGTACTTTCATCTCTTTTAGGAGATTTCTTGAGAAATTAAATGGTGCATATTATAAAATTTACATTATGTTAAGGTGAAAATCAGTTGCTTTTCCTACTGGTTACGTCAAACTTAGATTATGATATATATATATATATACTTGATCGATGTCATGTATTAACAACTTCATAATATATATATATATATATATCATAATCAAAGTTTGATGTAACCAGTAGGAAAAGAAACTGATTTTCACCTTAACATAATGTAATTTTTATAATATGCACCATTTAATTTTCACTAGTATGAGTAATGACCCATCATACCAGCTTTTTAGTTCAGACTCCCAAAATTGTTGTTTCTGGAGTTACTTTATTTCCTCGTATGCATGATTCACCCACGTCCCTGTATTATGTACAATATAACAGAGAGTGTTTGTGTTTTTGAAGTAAATATTGGGTAACAAGAGAAAATAGGAAGCCTCTTACACTTAAGTGGTCTACATATAGTCAAAATACAATATCTCATTTTTACAGAACTGCAATAAATATGGGTGGGCTTACTATCAGGCATTGGCTTTAGGAATTGCCGAATAAATACAGTACCAAACTAGATAAGTTTACGTTGACCCATTTTCCAATTTGGTGTAATTGACATTTAGTGACATCTATATATATCACTGATGTTTTGCACATGAAGTAATTGTTGCAAATTCATTGAGCAGTAAACATTTATTGTATTGATAGTGTGTGATTATTAAAAAAACTATTGCACGCTTAATAGTGGCATTTTTTTCATTGGAGTATCATATCATAGCTGTGTAGTCATTGTGGTGAATCTGGTGAAATTTCAGGCACGGTGAAAACTGTTCAACGTCAGGATGTCAAACCATACGGTGCTGGGTTTAAGATTGCACCTATCACTACCTACAAAGTGACCAATCAAGTGACCTGCTTTGGGATGAACGGCACCAGTGATGGACCAATCACGATACAGAGTGTCTTGCCAGACCTTACTGGATTTCAGGTACATGTCTTAGTATCCCCCTACCACTGCCAAAAAAAATGAAATTATGCATTCAAAATATTTTTTTACGGCATGACTATAGCTTAAATAAATCATTTATGAAAAGAAATGTAAACCTTGCTGGACTTGTATGAAAACATAACTGAGATGAAATAAACAAAATATAATCTACGTGTTCTGTGCGGAAAAACCTGGATTTCAGATTGTTATACCATCGCTGAAACAAGTTGAGCTACCTAGAAAACAGAAGTGCCCTGGCCAAAATGTGCTACAGTTATATTAAAACAGAAGTTAAGGGGAGGTTACTGTATATATGAAAACTGGCAGTGCAGTGGGACAGAAATCCTTGCCTAATGAGCAACTTGCTGAGAACCAAACTGTAAATTAAAAAAAAAAAAAAAATCTTCAAATTTTAATGTGAGTATAACAGGTCAAAGAGCTAAGTTCATGTACCAGTCTTTCAATTGACACCAATACAACCTACAAAATCTGGGGCTTTCTTCTGTCATAATCCTAACTTGAAAAGTTCAGAGGATATTGGCAGACCAAAACTAGATCAGTCTATAAGACTTGATACATAAAGACAATTTTTTGTGCTTTTTCAAACTTCACGTTAAAAATCTATTATGAAATACTGATGCATTGTACATTTAAAGAAAAACAAAAATTAGTTTTAACTTAATTCATGGTAGGTACCCAGTAATAAAATTTCTGTTTGAACTTCTCGAACATTATAATATCACTACTCACTGCTGGATTTTTTGGATTTTTTTTTCAGAAAGTAGGTAAAAGTATGAAGCTGGGAGTGGTGGTTGACGAGTGGCAGCTGGTGAGTGTTGTCGGGGAGAAGAAGAACACATACACCATGTGGATTAATTCTGATGGAAGTCCACATTTCTATGAGATGATGGGCTTGGACACCCTTCTGGGTTCCCACTATGACAAATACTACGTCAAATACAACAACTTCACAGCTAACGCCAAGTTTGATGACAGCGTATTTGCAGCTCCTAAAGGTAAACACCTATTTCTGGTAGGTAAATGTACATTTTATAACTAATTGAATACAATATCTTAATTTCCATTTTTATTTTTTATTTTTTTTGCATGAAACAAGTGGTGAAATTTTCATTGAAGATAGTTCTGTTCAGCTGAAATGATAATTTCATAAGAAATTTCATATGGTAAATGCTATGGCATATAAAAAAATGTTCTATGAAATGTAATTTATGTGCTGTGTTAATTTGTGTGTTGTGCTTGGCAGATATGACCTGTGGGGACTTTCCCGGCCCAGGTGCCAGTGAACGCCACGTTTTGATGAATCCAATGAAAGAGTACATGCACCACTATGACCAGCACGCCCAGGACCTGTTTGGACAATTCAAAATTAAACATGGCCGCAAATACCAGTCTGTCAAGGAGCATGCACAGAGGCAACATCACTTCAGAAATAACCTAAGGTATTCATATTCTTCACTATGTAATACCACACTCACCAAATATAGGAGTTTAGGTTAATAGAGAATGACAATTTAGGTGAATTTATTTACTTAAGCCGCCTGTTCCCAGCTAAAACACAGCGAAATGTAGAGAGTGAAACATTTACAGGGTAAAATGTGTAGAACAACGAGTTCAGTGTTCCTTAAAATACAGACTAGATCAATAGGGACAAGTAGAGTACCGTTGGCTGGATAAACAAGCCCTGATTGTGTCACAATTGCAGCTTACGTATAATGCCGCATCAGATATATAAATATATATTGTGCCATGTTATTTTATAATAAGGGATGCAGAAAACTAGGCCGTTTTCGTTTAAACCGGTCAGACCTCAGTTGTTCGTTTATTAAATAAGGTCGTACCTAGTAATCTGATGCTGCTTTCAGGTGAGTCTTGACAAAGCCTTGCAAGGCCTGCATAAACATTTGCAGGTCTGCCAGGATTTACACCCTGTGAAATCACTATTTTTTTTAACATTTTTTTTTTTTTAATTTAGTTGATTTCGTGGGAAATCTTCATCCACGAATTCATAGGTCAATTTACAATGTTCTTGTTTTCAAAGTGATTACACAAGTTTGATATAAAGTAATTCTCCTTTGTGGTGTGTACTCATAATCCACAAATTCATATAACCATAAAATGTTTTGTCGGGCAACCATGAAATTTGGGCCCCACGAAAATACCTGATTTCACAATAACCAATGGCACAGACTGGTCATCCTTATAAAAGTGTCCCATCCTGGGTACAGTAGCGTACAGTGGCCATGGGTGATATTTTTGTACAATGAATTAACCCCTGTAATATTACATGTATCAAAATTAAAAAAAAAAAAAAACAGCACTAAAATTGGCATATGTACATGATGAAGTGGACTATGTGGGCTTCACATTTAAAAAAAGATAATTGAATTTGGTTTGAGACTACAGTTTTGCCATTTTCAAATCTGTGTCTATACAACAAAAGCTAGCTTTTCTTGTAGTCTATTTTTGTACTCAGCATGTGTAAATATTGTGAAAAATCCACCGGTATGACATATATGCTAAAACGTGAGTATTTCTGTTACCGAGTAGATGATATTTAATTCAAGACAGGTTTTAAGAAAAAAAATACTACTTGCGTGGGTCAAATTTTGGATTAAAAATCATGTTTTTTTGCAATTTTTGGCATGTTTTTGATGTGGTAATCATGGTTTTCACAAGTCCCAAATCTGGGGAAATCACCCTTTGAAAAAATAAAATCTTTTAAAAAATCNGGAGACTCTATGGTAGGTACTTACACCCCTGTATACTGGGGCTGGAGACTCTATGGTAGGTACATATACTCCTGTATACTGGGACTGGAGACTCTATAGGGAGGTACATACACCCCTGTATACTGGGACTGGAGACTCTATGGTAGGTACATATACTCCTGTATACTGGGACTGGAGACTCTATAGGGAGGTGCATACACCCCTGTATACTAGGACTGGTCACTATGGGAGGTACATACACTCCTGTATACTGGGGCTGGGGACTCTTATGGTAGGTACATATACTCCTGTATACTGGGACTGGAGACTCTATGGTAGGTTCTTACACCCCTGTATACTGGTACTGGAGACTCTATGGGAGGTACATACACCCCTGTATACTGGGGCTTGAGACTCTATAGGGAGGTACATACACCCCTGTATACTTGAGCTGGAGACTATATGGTAGGTACATATACTCCTGTATACTGGGACTTGAANTAGGTGTGTTGTGCAGGATGAATCCGCTATGCATGTTTATCTGAGATTTGCCCTTTATTTTAAGGATCTAGCCATTTCTACTGTACTCTAGCTGCTACCCTGTTGTCAGTTTTCTTCCTTTTCAGATAAGTCTTTCTTGCTTGTAAGTTATGAAATATTTTCTGCAATGTAACAATTAATTGTTGTTTAAAAATTGAATTAAGAATACATGTGCTATTGCTTATCATACGTTTTGTCGTAATTATGACTTAAAGAAAGGAATAAAAGTTATTAATTGCTGCATTTTTATGATCCTTAGATTCATCCATTCCAAGAACAGGGCTGGTCTGTCTTACTCATTAGCTGTGAATCACTTGGCAGATAAATCTGTAGAGGAACTTTCAGTGATGAATGGGTTCAGTCGTACTCCAGGCCATCACGGCGGGCTTCCCTTTGACAAAACCAAGTACAATTTGAAGGACACCCCTGTAAGCTGGGACTGGAGACTCTATGGTAGGTACATACATCCCTGTATACTGGGGCTGGAGACTCTATGATAGGTACATATACTCCTGTATTTGGACTGGAGACTCTATGGTAGGTACTTACACCCTGTATACTGGGGCTGGAAACTCTATGGTAGGTACATACACCCCTGTATACTGGGACTGGAGACTCTATGGTAGGTACATACACCCCTGTATACTGGGGCTGGAAACTCTATGGTAGGTACATACACCCCTGTATACTGGGACTGGAGACTCTATGGTAGGTACATACACCCCTGTATGCTGGGACTGGAGACTCTATGGTAGGTACATACACCCCTGTATACTGGGACTGGAGACTCTATGGTAGGTACATACACCCCTGTATACTGGGACTGGAGACTCTATGGTAGGTACATACACCCCTGTATACTGGGACTGGAGACTCTATGGTAGGTACATACACCCCTGTATACTGGGACTGGAGACTCTATGGTAGGTACATACACCCCTGTATACTGGGACTGGAGACTCTATGGTAGGTACATACACCCCTGTATACTGGGACTGGAGACTCTATGGTAGGTACATACACCCCTGTATACTGGGACTGGAGACTCTATGGTAGGTACATACACCCCTGTATACTGGGACTGGAGACTCTATGGTAGGTACATACACCCCTGTATACTGGGACTGGAGACTCTATGGTAGGAACATACACCCCTGTATACTGGGACTGGAGACTCTATGGTAGGAACATACACCCCTGTATACTTGGGCTTGAGACAAGTGTAGATGAATGCACACCTAAAGTCAGGATTTTTTGTTTTAGTTCATGAGAAAGAAAAGATTCATTGATCTATATTAATGAACAAAATCGTAAAAATATTATAAAGTACAAACTTGTATGAGAGACATTTCAGAAACACACAAGAAAACCTCTTGTCAGAATGATTTTCATGATTTTATGTTTGATAACTGAAGATCTAATAAAGTGTTCTCTGCTGTATAGGTGCTGTCACACCTGTGAAGGACCAGGCTGTCTGTGGATCGTGCTGGAGCTTCGGTACTGTCGGTACCATTGAGGGTGCTTACTTCCTCAAGGTGGGTAAGACAATATTCAGAAACTAAAAAATGTCGGCCAAAAAACGGATTTAGAATAATTCCTCAAATATCATTAAAGTCAACTTCCTGACATATACCTAATTCAACAATACAATTGTGGGAAATCTTTAATTGTAGTATTGTTTCTTGCATTTTTGTTCACTCATTTGGTTCACTGTTAGACCTTGCTTGCCCATGTTGGGTAGGCCATAGATTCTGTCCCAAAGCCAGGATTTACCAAAGTCCTTCAAAATGGGAGTTGTTACTCCCTGCTTCCAGCATACATTACACACATGGAGGCACGTCCTTAAATGACCTTAGCTGTTTATAGGACATTAGGCCTTATAAAACCTAACCAATCCGTTCAAGCATATGCAAATTAATCTTGTCAAGTCCAAATATGCAATAAACTCAAAAAAACTGCTTTTATATAGCTTGACACATCAATATAGCATGTTGGTTTTGTCATCGAATATGCTAGAGGTTAAAGTATTTCCTGTGGAAGACTTCCTCACTTTCAAAATGCATTGTTGTGCCTGCTGCTTGTTTTACTCCCCACAACCACTCAGATCACTAAGTGTCGATGTATTCTAGCAGATGTTGTCTTGGTTTGGTTTGTTTGTGTTTTACGTCCTATCAACGCCTATGGTCATTTAAGGACGTGCCAAGTTTTGGTTGTTGAGGAAAGCCACAGTTCCCAGAGAAAAACCACCGACCTATGGCCAGTACCTGGCAACTGCCCCATGTAGGTCTCAAACCTGTGACCCAGTGGTGGAGGGCTAGTGGTAGCAGAATGTCAGACGCCTTAACCACTTGGCCACTGCGGCTCCAGATGTTGTCACTGTCAGCATGTAATAAACATGTGAAAAGTTGTTTTAAAACAGTCCACTTTTTAAGTATTTATGTGTTGTCCAGTATGAGCTACACTTTCAGTTTCATGTTGGAGAATTTACAGCTTTGTGCATTTTCCTTAGGAACAATCTTGTCCAAATAAACTGCTTTAGTGGTAACATGACATAGAACACATGACATGTTTCTATTTGTGTTCCATGTCAGACAGGACATCTGGTCCGACTGTCGCAGCAGGAACTGATGGACTGTTCCTGGGGCGAGGGCAATAACGCCTGTGATGGGGGTGAGGATTTCAGGTCTTACAACTGGATCATGAGGAATGGCGGTCTAACCAGTGAGGAAATGTATGGACCCTATCTCGCTCAGGTATTGTACACTGATTGCCTACATTTAAAAAAGAATAAGTTTTATCTTTGAGGTAAAAGTGTTCACTGTAATACATAATTTGGGTCATTTTGCCATTCTTTGTCTAGGAATAAAGTGGGTTTTTTAAAATTTGAATTGATAAAATGTAACGTGAAAGTGTATTTGTTTTCAATGATTATATATTTACATTTGCGTTGCAGTCCCTCTAGATAACAGTACCAAAATGTTGTTATGATTCAAGAAAAGCAAGTGTGTAGAAATATTAACAATAATACATGTACCTTTATATGACCTTTGACCTAATTAAGGAAACACAGCTGTCAACCCACCCTCCTCAAAAACAAAAACACCCAGGATCTTTTTACGCCCCCGCCATAAAATGGGGGGGGGGGGGGCATATAGTGTTGCCCATGTCCGTCCCATCCCATCCATGAGCGGGGGGGCATTTATGTCTTTCAGACATTTTCTAGTTTGATCTACAGTTTAAAAACATTTTCAGAATGGTTTATTGCGTTTTCACCCGAAAAAACTCAAATAATGAAAGTGAATGTAATAGAATGTAAATATAAGGTTTGAAATGCATCTTTTTAACATTTATGAGGGTATGCAACACATTTCCATTCAAACATATACTAGAACAGTGTAATACTATTGCTAGGCAGTGAAATATTTTTGCTCAGCCAAATGTTTGCCATCTTACATTTGAAAACATATTCACCTTGCTGAGAATTTGCTGTCCTGTTTTAATTCACTTTTTCTTATTCAAGAGTAGGAAGAGCAAAAAACTAGAATTGGGGTGAACATTTCCCATTTTACAGTAAGAAGCATGTTTATATATTCTGCAGGATAGTACCTGTCATTCAAAGGAGGTAAAGCCAGTTGTGACATTGAAGAACTACGTGAATGTCACCAAAGGTGACCTTCAAGCCCTCAAGTTCGCCATTGCTCACCAGGGACCAGTGTCAGTCGCCATTGATGCCTCACACAAGTCTCTGTCCTTCTATGCCAATGGCATCTACTACGAGCCAGATTGTGGTAAGTGATATTATATATAGCTACAGATCTGGCTACAGATTAATAATACATCAATACCTTTTGATACCAGCTAGGGCACACATAGTAATACTTTGTATAAATTAAGTTTCTCCCTGATTAAACTTACTTCAATAGCTCCATAAGATATTGATTAGATCTTTGATGTAAAATACTAATTAATGTGCCGTAATATGGAATATTCATCTATTTGCTTTTATGTAGAATATCTGCTGATATGACACAGATAGACATTTGGTGTGGAACATTCCTTTGATGTCAAAATTTGTTACCTTTAACACTTTGTGATTTGTTACAATTGTAACGATAGGGAAGGTTTATTTCCTTATTTATAACCTTTTGGAAATGTATTACAATGTATTTCCTGATCATAGATAATACTGTGAATATGGGTTTCTATAGCAATGATATATCTGCTAAAACTTGTTTCAGGCAACACTGACGACGCCCTGGACCATGCTGTCCTGGCCGTGGGTTATGGAACCATTGGTGGTCAGGACTACTGGCTGGTTAAGAACTCCTGGTCCACGTACTGGGGAAACGATGGCTTTGTCCTCATGTCGCAGAAGAACAACAACTGTGGTGTCGCTACCGCAGCCACGTACGTCCTTCTATAGAGTGCTACGTACAAACAGCCTGCGAAACAGTGCCACATTGTCTGTAGAATGCCACATCCATTGCTTTAAAGATACAGCCATGACACGAATCACCATTCAGTTGTACTGCAGGCATAGTAGAAAGTGGTGCTTTAAATTTCTGTGATATTTCTCCCTTTGGCTCAACAGTATCACCATGGCAACTTTTTCAAATAAGCTCTGTCCTTGAGCTACAATGGATATCTGGACTGTCCTACTGCTGTCATACAGGTGTATTCAAAAATGTTATATTCATAATAATTCAAAATAATCAAATGCTCATTTTTGATAAAATATTGCAATGATATTTTATAGGTTTTTATGTAGTTCTTGTTTTTTTCTTCAAAGTATTTACATAATATATAGAAGTTGATGCATGTCCTCAAATTTAGAACCTGGATACCCAGACATATAGTTACAAGTATTCGTTCATAAAATGAACACAGTTCAAATTCGTGAACGTTTATTTAGAGAATAAAATTTATGTACCTATATTCATCCATGCGTACTGTCTGGTTCATTTGGTGCTTTCATTTTCAATAACGTAATGATGATTGTGTACTTATGAATGATACAGTCAGGAAATTATGTTATATACATCGTATGAATGTTTGATTTTACTTCATGGTTTTTGTACATTCCATTGTGTTTATTATGAAATCAAAGTTAAAACGTTTGTGTGGAATGATTTTTCAAAATGTGATATGAAAAATAAATGCTTTTTTTTTGTAAACAAAACTGTGTGTTATCATCTTGTGTGGCCTATATCTACATACAGCTAAACATAATCAAAGAAGTTATAGCGACAATGCAGAATTTCAGTTTTTCAAAGCAATCCGTTCCTATATCAAGACACAAACCTGAAGAATTATACATATCACAACATATAACATAGAGAAAAACAGTCACCATGAAATAATTCTATATCACAAAATATATAACAGAAATTAAGTTTATGTTTTAGCAGTTACATGAATCGATAATTGCTGAACAGAACATAGATTGAAGAGGTATAAAAGCGTAAGCAGGTGATGTCATATTCTGGACACCTTGAGAGTTCCTTAATAATAATAAGAAGGAAAAGATTTTACCTGAGTGAGAAATACGGGAATCTTCCCTTCAATAAAGTTTCTGTATATAACTATACAGCAGTGATTTGTTTGCGGGTTGTCGGTGTGTGCACTAATGTTTATATACATTTTGACTGAAGGACTCGTCTTAGTTGGGGTTTTTTAGTTTGTTTCCTTAGTGAGGAGGTGAAGTTTAGTATAGTTTACATAGGAAATAAACATAATAGGCCATATCTTCCATTGTTTTGAAAGGAAGTTGTTCATATTTGACAGAAATACTTGTTAGGGGAAGGGGGTCTGCAGGTAAAAATTTATGAGCCTGACCCCCTAGGGGCCTGAGTTAGGGGCCGAAAAAGCGGGGGGGGGGGGATTTCAAAAATCTTGTTCTTTAGTTATAAAAATGCTAGGATCAAATACTACCCATAGCTGTAATGGCATTTGGGTGGTTTATAACATATGTGATTTTTATGTCTCCCAGGGCCCCCGTTTGCCCCTGAGGAGGGGGTGAAATTTAGTATAGTTTATATAGGAAATAGACATGACAGGCCATATCTTCCATTGTTTTGAAAATAATTTGTTCATATTTCAGAGAAATACTTATTAGGGGAGGAGGGTCTGCTGGTATAAATCGTGTGAGCCTGCACTCCTAGGGGGCTGAGTTAGGGGCCAAAAAGGGGAGAAATTTGGGAAAATTTCAAAAATCTTCTCTAGTTACAAAAAAGCCAGGATCAAATACTACCCATAGCTGTAAAAGCGTTTGGGTGGTTTATAAAAATTGTTATTTTCATGTCTACCAGGCCCCTGGTGAGGTGGTGAAATTTAGATCAAATTATATAGGAAATATACATAATAGGCCATGTCTTCCAATGTTTTGAACGGAGTTTGCTCATATTTGACAGAAATACTTGTTAGGGGAGGAAGGTCTGCTGGTATAATTTTTGTGACCCTGACCCCCTAGGGGGCTGGGTTTGGGGTGAAAAAGGAGGCGAATTTCAAAAATCTTTTTCTGCAGTTCCAGAAATGCTAGTATCAAATACTACTCATAGTTGTAAAGGCCTTCGAGTGGTTTATATACTTTGTGATTTTCATGTGCCCCAGGTCCCTCGTTTGCCTTTTGGGAGGGAGTTTTGTGATCTACATGGCACAATAACTAATTATCTAGAATATCATGGCTTGAAGCATAAAGAATTATCTGAAACAACTTAATTTGCCAAACAAAAATGTGATATACCCAATTATACCGTTACATCTTGTAATAATTTTAAAGAAGAAAAAGGGTTCTCAAGACTTCTATAATATACTTATCAGAAATAATGCATCAATAACTGCTCAAACAAATGGGGGACTCTATTCGACTATAATCAGGAAACTTGGGGGAAAATATATGCTATTCCTTTCAGGGTAACAAAAAATACAAAATTGCAATGGTTGCAATTTAGAATTAATCATTATATTTTAACAACCAATTCTTATTTATACAAAATTGGACTTGTAAATAACCCACATATATTGCTCGTGGTAAAGGGGAACAATGTTTTAGAAGATTTACTTCTGAATGGGAAAAATGGTTAAAATTAGTAGAACTTGACCTCACCTAACCCTGAGTCTTATGACTATTTATATCAAGTTAGTAGGTGTTATTCTCTTGCTTACTCCATCCCCTCCTATTTATGTTTACAAGCAGGTCTCTATTCAATTAGAATAAGTAGCAATGACTGAAGATGATGATGACGATGACGATGACGATGATGATGATGATGATGACGATGATGATGACGATGAGGATGATGACGACGATGATGATGATGAGGATGATGATAATTTCAATAGTTGATATGTGTGGATGTGTGTTGATGTGATGTTCTGTATAATGTCCATGTTCTGAAAATCTAGAAAAAAAAGAAAATATATATATATATCTTGCACGAATCCACCCTGTTTCTTCGACCTTTCATCATGTTCTAAGAATTTCAAGAGTCTACCAATGAAGATATCCTTTGTTGTACTATTTGGCCAGCTACTAATTAAACACTGTAGAAAGTTTAGTTTCTGTTAATGCCTAGAACCGTTTCACACATATCCGATATCGAAGATTTCCTCACATTCAGAATCATTTTTGCTGTGTAATGCTGGAATACATCTAATTGTTGTTTGTCTTTCGCCGTTAGGTTATTCTACATTTCCGACCCATACCAGTGGCGGATCCAGAGGTTTTTTTGGGGGCTTCAGCAACCCCCCACCCCCCACCCTGAGAATTTTCTTAAAAAATCATGTATTTTCACAATTTTTCTCAATTTTTCCCCACATGGAACCCCCCCCCCAGGAAATTTGGAAACCCCCCCAGATAGGTCTCTGGATCCGCCACTGCATACAATACGGTTAGTAGTATTACTTTCTTATAAATGTTAACATATGTTAGCGGTTTAGTGTGTGCAGTCTGATCCCATACGAGAAATAGTATGTAGCATATTTCTCCCTTTTCTACAGGCTTTTTCTACAGCATTTGAACACTTTAGGTCAGATATGATACATCAATTCCTAGATGAACCAGCTCGGAGTCCACAGTTTTGATGATATCCCCATTCAATGTCCACGGGACGTTAGTGACACACGTTTTAAACGAAATAATAGAACATTTCGAAGAGTTAAATGTAAAATTCCACTTTTTAGCACATTCTCCTGCGATGTTCAGTAGACACTGAAGAGCTCTTGGACTAGTACTAATGAGTGCGATATCGTCAGAAAGAGATGGGTAATCACAGTTAACTGATAAGATTCTCGCACCAGCTTTCGATGTTTCCAATTGGTTGAGTAGATCATTTATGTGTAGTAAGTACAAAAAAAAGTTGACATTACCCCCCTTGCCGTACTGACCTATTCACACTGAACCAACGTGATTGAAAATTATTATGGACGATAGCACTGACAATTCCTTGATATGAGTTACACAACATTTTGAACAGATTTCCGGTTATTCCAAGCTCATACAACTTATGAAATAGGCCTTTATGCTGCACGGTATCGAAAGCTTTGTATGTATCTACGAACGCGACATAAACATTACTATTCTGTTCCAAGTTTTCGTTTATACACTCCTGAAGATTAAATGATGCTGTCATGCAGCTCTTTCCTTTCTGAAGTCCTTGTTGCTGTTTGTGAGGGAATTCGATATTCTCTGTTTCCACCCATGGAATAATACGATTACGAATAACTGTTTCCATCAGTTTATATAATGCAGGAAGTAACGAAATTGGGCGGTAATTATTGGGGTCATTCTTCTTTTTATGTCCACCCTTATATATCGGAACTATAACTCCCATTTTCCACGTTTTTGGTATTTCCCCAGATATTCGAGTGTAGTTGAACAGTTCACTTATTGTATCTATTAGCAGTTTCCCGCCATATCTGATGTGTTCATTTGTAATATTTTCAACACCAGGTGATTTATTCAATTTCAACTGCCGTATATACACACATTGATCTCGTCAAACGTAAATGGTGAGTCTAACTCATCGACGTATCCATATGGTGAGTTGAAATCCGTCTTTCCTTTTGAATTATCCACGTTCAGTTTTTCAAAGAAGTCTGCGAAAATGTCTACAATTCCAATAGGATCCCTACATGCATTTCCCCCATGAGTCAATGCTGTACATATGTCTGGAGATGGGTTCTTTCGTTTCCGTATTGTCCGCCAGAACAATCTTATATCTAATTCAGCAGTATTATCGAGCTCGTTGTTAACATTGTCTATATATGTACTATGTGCTTTTTGAAGTTTTTTGACTCCTTGTTGTCTTTATATGCTTTATTTTGCATCCCTCGCGGTCTATTTTCATTTATCCACAATTGTCTTTTATAAAGAGCTACATTATGCGCATTTTCTATATCCGATGTCCAGTACGGCTTTAGATACTGTTTGAGATGACGTTTTGGAATTGCTTCATCTGACGAAAGCAACATACATAACGATAGTTGTTCATATAACGCGTCTACTCCAAGTTGTGTGGAAATATCAAAATCCTGAACTTTACTGAGTTTTTCCGTCAGAGCTAACTGGTACGCGATCAAATGGTCTACACTTGCTTTATTCCATGACGTATGCATTTTATGGCTAGTTTCTTTTACCCCGAAGTATGGAATACTGAGGTCTAATGAACAGACTACTGGTAAGTGGTCGGATGCTATTTCAATATCGCTGTCGTCTAATATTCGATTGTATGTAATGTTCGCAACTGTTGATTGCTCTTTGAATATATAATCTAACGTCGACTGACATGATCTGAACGTGTAATCCTTGCCAGTTCTTGCATTGTAGGTTGACTGTTTTGAAGTACACACAAATTTAGATCACGAACAAGAGTTTTCACAGCGTTTGACTTTTGTCTTGCACTAGAATACGTCGGATTGTCCATAATCCTTGCAATAAAATCCCCCGCTATGATAAGTTTTCCTCGTTGATCATAGAACGTTAGTAGATCGTGTAACGTCTGTAACGTTTCACAGTATGCTTTTATGTCGCTATCACTTTGCATGTACACACCAAATATAGATATGGGACTGTCCAGCGTTATACCTGTGACTTCAATAGCAACTATGCGTTCATTAGTCCGAATTATTCTGACGTTTACGAATGCTATATTGCAAAGACTTTTTAATTAGATAGGCAACTCCTGTTCCACCGTTCGAGTTTTCGTAACAGTTTGCAAGTATTGCATAGTAGTTTCCGTCGATACAGTCTAAATATTCATGGGACTTGTGGCAAACAGTTTGTGTTCTGTAATCGCCAAAAACGTCACAATTCGTTTCACGTAGCAGTTTGACAACACATTTGCTCGAGGAGAAAATTCCTCTGACGTTCCATGTCATTACAGTAAGTACCATTATACTCGCGAGAAATACTATCTTATACATACGGAATATCTGAGAGTAGTGGAGTCGGTTCAGGTTTTTTGGGTTTTTTTTGTTCTCTGGTTTCAGAAATAAGAATGAGTCGGGATAATCGTTTTAGAAAATATGTTGAATAATCATGAATTTATTTGATCGTAATTCTTTATCGATAAACCTCTTATTAGAAATTGGCTCATGCCTTTGTTCGTTAATTATTTGATTCACTCGAAATTGTCCATGGATCGCTTACTTCTTTCACAATTGATGTGCAATTTGTATCTAAGTGTGTTTTTACTGAAGTGAGGGTATCGGTGTATAATTTCTCGATTTGTTATTATTTGGACCTAAACTAAGGTTTTTAGACTAATTTTACACGTTTAGATCAGTTTCGGTAACAAGAGGCCCAATGGGCCTGCATCGCTCACCTGGTATTAATCTCACAATTGTAACCTTAAAAGTGGAATAAAATAAAGCTACAGGCAAAATATCAGTGTCTTGGCTTCAAGTCATTTAGAAGAACCTGTTAAACAATCAAAACACATTTGACCCCTGTGACCTTGAAAGTCAAACATGGACATTAAGTTGAACAATCTTCATAGCCCTTCGTCCCAGAATGCAACTTGCCAAATATCACCACCTTATACCTTTTGTTGATCAAGATGATACTTTTAAAGATTTATGCACTATGGACCAGATGTGACCATTAAAGTGTGTCAAGGTCATTTACATCAACAAGCAATCACCCTTTATGCTTTAGTTATTCAGAAGAAGTCGTTTAAAGATTTCAACATATTTGACCCCTGTGACCTTGAATATGAGCATAGGTCATTCGTTTAAACACATTTCGTAGCCCTACATGCCAAAATCCTTCATGCCAAATATCATCACCCTGGATCTTTTGGTTATACAAAAGAAGTCATTTAAAGTTTTTTAAGACAATTGATCCCTTTGACCTTGAATATGAGTAAAGGTCATTTGTTTAAACACACTTGGTAGCCCTTCATGCCAACATCCTTCTGCCCAAATATCATCACCCTAGGCCTCTCGGTTATTCAGAAGAAGTTGTTTAAATGTTTTTAACATATTTGACCCCTGTGACCTTAAATATAAATCAATGTCATTTATTTGAACAAGCTTGGTAGCCCTTCATCCCAGCATGTTACTGGCCAAATTTAAGCACCCTAGCCATCTCAGTTGTTCAGAAGAAGTTGTTTAAATGTTTTTAACATATTTGACCCCTGTGACCTTAAATATAAATCAATGTCATTTATTTGAACAAGCTTGGTAGCCCTTCATCCCAGCATGTTACTGGCCAAATTTAAGCACCCTAGCCATCTCGGTTATTCAGAAGAAGTTGTTTAAATGTTTTAAACATATTTGACCCGGTGACCTTGAAAATGGATGAAGGTGATTTATTTGAACAAACTTGGTAGCCCTTCATCCCAGCATGTTACTGGCCAAATATCATCACCCTAGGCCTTTTGGTTACTGAGAAGAAGTTGTTTAAAGTAAAATGTTGTCCACGGACGCCGCACCATGCCATAAGCTCACTTGGCCCTTCGGACCAGGTGAGCTAAAAATGCCACCGGCAATGATACACGAGATACGAGAAGCAGAAGCGTATATTATCACCATTGAGGGTAGTCCGAATTATTCTGACGTTTATCGACTTTTTTCATATCGGTCTGTCTTCGATTAATCGACGACAGACCGATATGAAAAAAGTCGATAAACGTCAGAATAATTCGGACTACATTGAGGGTGGCATTTTTTTTACCGAAAATTATTCATTGCTATGTCTCATGTAAAAATAGAACACGTTTCAACCTTCATCACATATGGTATATATCTTTATGCTGGNGGTCATTCATTTGAACAAAATTGGTAGCCCTTCATCCCAGCATGTTACTGGCCAAATATCATCACCCTAGGCCTCTCGGTTATTCAGAAGAAGTTGTTTAAAGGTTTTAAACATATTTGACCCCTGTGACCTTGAATATAAATCAAGGTCATTTATTTGAACAAACTTGGAAGCCCTTCATCCCAGCATGTTACTGGCCAAATTTAAGCACCCTAGCCATCTCAGTTATTCAGAAGAAGTTGTTTAAATGTTTTAAACATATTTGACCCGGGTGACCTTGAAAATGGATGAAGGTGATTTATTTGAACAAACTTGGTAGCCCTTCATCCCAGTTGCTTCTGGCCAAATATCATCACCCCAGGCCTTTTGGTTACTGAGAAGAAGTTGTTTAAAGTAAAATGTTGACCACGGACGCCGCACCATGCCATAAGCTCACTTGGCCCTTCGGACCAGGTGAGCTAAAAATGCCACCGGCAATGATACACGAGATACGAGAAGCAGAAGCGTATATTATCACCATTGAGGGTAGTCCGAATTATTCTGACGTTTATCGACTTTTTTCATATCGGTCTGTCTTCGATTAATCGACGACAGACCGATATGAAAAAAGTCGATAAACGTCAGAATAATTCGGACTACATTGAGGGTGGCATTTTTTTTACCGAAAATTATTCATTGCTATGTCTCATGTAAAAATAGAACACGTTTCAACCTTCATCACATATGGTATATATCTTTATGCTGGAAACAATAACTGCACTAAATTACATGTATATGAACACATACTGTATAACTCATGTCCATGTCAAAAACACCCATGTCCATGTATAAACATAATTAATATGATTTCACCATACTCACATGCGTTGTACTCACACAAACCCATATGCATGATATTAGACATTTTCAGACATTCCTGTATCTACTGATTATTGATATATAAATGCAAAGAGAAGAAATATCAGTCCCACACAAAAAGGTAAATGAGAAAGCACATACTGTCTACTGAGTACATTGCATTGTCTTTATAAGAAAGAGGAATTGAGATAGAGACTGAGAAAATAAAAAGAAAGGGAGAACAGCGAACACAAAGAAAAGAGAGAAGAAATGTAGGAAAAGTTGCGGCTCTAGACCAAATTTAGTAAAAATCCAATCATCCGTTCAGGACTAGGCTAGACTTGTCACGCGTGTACGTGCACGTAATTGACATTGACATGTATTTAGGTATGGCTTTCGCCAAGGTGTCATCTGAGCCAGTTTCACACCTGACCATTGATTTGCAGGTGATACTTGCTACAAATAGAATAACTTCTGTATTTCTTTGATTTCTTTTCGATTTATAGTAAATCATTCCCGCGATAATTTACTTCATGGGTATTGAAAATTATTTTCTATAATTCATCCGATATGATAACGATACATTATTGTATATTATTCCCGAGATAAATAACTTCGTAAATAATGAAATTCATTTTTCTATATTTTATCCAATACAACAAAGATAAATTATTGTATATCAGTCCCGTGAAATTACTTCATAAATAATGAAATATATCTTGCAATAATTTTTCCAATAAAACGATGATAAATTATTCCAAATAATTCCCGTGATTTCAATTTACTACATATATAATAAAAATATATTTAAAAGTACGCCCGATTAAGATCTACATATACTATTTAACTTTAATTGTATACTTATTTTGTATATCAGTTTTATTGGGTGTGTACTTTCTGTATTGGGTGGTATTGGGTAAATCGATGTTTGTATTGGGTAAATCGGCGTTTGCATTGGATAGTATTGGGTTGTATTGGGTAAATCGACGGACCCTTATAGAGTAGAGTTTGAAAGGAAAAGTTGACGGACGGATGGACAGATTCCGCGCCACCACATGTACATAGCTCGCGTGACCAGCTATCTCTTTCAAACAGAGATGTAATTAAATATGCATGGATACATACACAAACTTTAATAGTACCCTTCATATTTCGGGAAACCATTGTCTGGTCTGTGTGGATCGAAGAATCGGGAAGGTTAATACTCGTTAACTAATTCACTGTCGTCTATTATAATGTGGATCAATAATTGTAGTGTACTACCTAATTTCACTGCCTCTATCGCTTACCTCCCTTCAAATAGATCTCCTTTTTTCCCAGTCTCAATATTGATCACCAAAATGTTTTTGACCTATCCAAAAAGGATTGCAAGTAACGCAAGCGTCTTGATGACCAAGAATACTTTTTTTTTCCGGGAGAAAAAGGAGGTATGAGGTATGGTAGCATTGAAAGTTTGTTAGATGATTTCCAAACAGGTTGAGCAAAATCCCTCGCATCCGCTGACCTGATGGATAATACATCATGCAGGTTAGCTGCGATAACGTAGCTTTCTGACGACGATAGATTTTTTTTATATATTGCGTCGTCAGAGCTACGAAGCGGTCCTATGCCAACTAATGGAGCAAAATCAAAAGTGTTAATCTGTAAGAGTGTAAGATTGCATAAAATTCACGCCTCATATCAGTATAATGTTATCAAAATATTGCATAATTGTTGAAAAAACGAATCCTTACCCATGCAAGAACTCTTTAACGAAATTAACAAAGTCCGTCTTGGGGAAAAAAAACCAGGCGATCGATCAGAATTTTTTAACCTGCGATTATGGTCAGTTTTAGCGGACTAGACGCCTAGTTGAATGGGTTCCGGGTTGTTTCGCCCCAAATCCTGTTCGCCCTAGGTTGTTTCGCGCCAGGTTGTTTCGCCCTAAAACAAAATTTTTAGGGCGAACTTTTTATGGTATTTTCTTTTCATTTTTATTTGTTGTAAGACACAAATTATGTCTTCTTAGTCTTCCATATCATTAAAATCAGTTTTATTTTTAAAAAAAATGTGCTTGTGTAGTTTTTAAGTACATGGTATTTTCTTTTAAGGAATACGTTATTTTCTTCACGCCGACACACATTATAACATATATTGAATTTAATGTTATTAATAAATAAGAATAGTGAAATGAAACAAAAATGGTGTAATTTTAATTACATTGTGTGGTATACAACAATATTATTTTTCCATGTTAACACATTTAGTCTAGTGTACACATAATCGTCGCCGTGTGACGATGTTTTCTTTACTTGATTTCGGCACATGTCCGTGTTGTTTTTTGCTAATTGGAGGAGATCATTTTGAGAAGTTTTGATAGTACCGACCAATAAAAATTAATATGCATATTTGAGTAGATAATTTTGAGTATGTTACTTGTCATAAATAGAGCATTTCTCACAACTGTGTTATAATTCAACATTACGTTATGGATGATTTGTGTATTTCGTGCGACTCCGTGGTAAGACGCAGACAGTATTTGAGTACATGTGATGTCTGCGACCGTTGGCAGCATAGAACATTATATGTCAATACTAATCTATGTCCATTTCGTATACGTATCTATGTACTTAGGGAAGTTAATTTAGTTTCATTATATGTCCATAATTATATGTCCATATCTTATGTATTAATGATTTGTGTTAAATAAGTTAGTAATACTATTTAGTGCTTTAATTATTTGTCAGTGAGGGAGTAAGCGGTACCAGTGTTGTGTACGTATTGTGCAAGTAGTGCTAAAGGTTTGTTAGGGTTAGTGTTTTTGTATAATGTGTACGAATTGTATTACTTAGTGTTGTGCCTTACATGAATATGTTGCTTGTATAAAAAGGGAAATGGATGTCCATATCCAAACGAAAAAAGAAAAAAAAATACCAAAAAAATACCCAAAAAATACAAACAAACATAAAAAAAAAAAAAAAGTTGGCAAAGGGGGATGTTACATCATCAAATCCTAGTCACACCTCCTCGTGGTGCAAGCTGGAAACACTAAATTTCAGATATGTTTGATATGAGGTGGCTGACGTGACAGGGTGTTTTTTAATTGTTTATATCATGTTAGAAGTTAAATAACTATTACTATTTTACATTCTTAACGTTAAAACATGTACAGGTGCTTTTTATAAAGAACAACATTACTGGTTGTAATGTGCAGTATATTCCGGATATTAGTATGTCCGTTGTCGGCTTCTTGATCTTCCGGCACGTAATATATAATTATATGTATATTATATCTGGATTCAAGAGAAAGATACGTTTTTTTAACTTTTAACATGATATTTATGACTTGTAGAAAAAAAATATTTTTTAGGGCGAAACAACCTGGGGCGAACGGGTTTTGGGGCGAAACAACCCTTAGGGCGAACGGGATTTGGGGCGAAACAACCCGTTACCAGTTGAATGATTGATTGGTTCTACATCCGCTTCACTACCGAGTAGTTCGGTTATCCAGCATTGTGCATAGTTACCGTGTCTGTCTATTTATAACACACACTGTATGTACAATGTACTGTGATATAGTCCGAATTATTCTGACGTTTTATCGACTTTTTTATATCGGCGATATAAAGAAAGTTGATAAAACGTCAGAATAATTCGGACTAACTGTGTTACTGCTACATATGGAAATGTGAAGAGTGTTCACAAAATTATTTTTTCATCTGCTACACCAATATAATTGTTTTATACTTCTTTATTAAAACGGGGCTAAATATCATAATATCCTATGAAAAAAGGGGTAGAAGTACTATCTGATGTTGCTTCAAATGATCTGAAAACAAGCCCATATATATATCTTGTATTAATGTTACAGAAGGGACAGATTTTGTATAAAATCACAGATTTTAAAGTATATAAAGTACAAAATGTCTATTCATATTTTTTCAGATAAATAGAAATTTAGGATATTACTAACACATTTATTGAAAATGGCTGAAGCAAAGAAAGCTATGGCTGAAGCAAAGAAAGCTATAGCAGAACAAAAACTGAAAGAACTGAGGAGGAAAATGGATGCTGATTTTGATAAATACTTAGCAGATACGATTGCGAGACAGAAAAAAGAACCTGCCCCTGAAGTAGAGGAGACGGACGAAGAATGGGAAGAGAGATTAGATGTAATTAAATTTTTTACATCAAACTTCACGTTAGCTATGCTGAAATTACATAATAATGCTGTGATATGTTAGTCTATTGATATCCAGTGTCCAAATTTTGATAGACAAAATCTTTTAACACTAAAATGAGAAAAATATCTTGCCTGGAATTCATTAGCCAATATTTTTCACATTTTCATTCAATAATTTCACATTGTAAATTTCTTTTTTTCGATTAACAGTAAAAGTATATAAGTCTATGCTTATTCATGCCATGTACATGTACCAAATTACCATTTTTTTCCGTAGAAATTGATGAGGCATCCAGCCTTTGCAAAGGAAGTTGATTTCAGTAAACCACTCCATCCTGCCATGGAAGGGCTGATGCGTTTAAAGTATGAAGATGAAGATCCAACAGGTATTATAATTTAAATGTCAAAATGTTGCACTCGAGGAGTCATCCTGTTAGTTCTGTATTTGGGTTATTGGTATCTTATTTATCCATTTATCAGTAATTTGTCAAAATGAATTAAAATCAATATTGCATTGTGTTTGTATCTTCATAACTAACGGGAAACCAGGTTTATTCTTTTTTTTGTTCCTATATGTGTTTGATGAGATTAAAACTCATTGTACTAATGTCTGCTGTGTATTTGATTTTTTGCTGTCTTTGATGACTTCAAATATAGCAAAATTATATCATACACATTACACAAATATAACCAACTATACTTGCACATATACATATGACCTATAGTAAAATAACTGTTTTTAAACACCTCATAGATATCTGTTGTTTTTCATTGATCGACCTTAAATTTTTCATGAGATCTGTTTAGTTTGAAAAGGATCCCAATTATTAATTTGTTTGTAGCCCGTGCTGAATCATTCAAAGATGATGGAAATGAAGAGTTTAAAAAGAAGAAATATGACGTTGCTATAGATAATTATACTGAAGCGATAAAGTGTGAGTGTCCAGACCGTCAGCTGAATGCAGTGCTGTACAGTAATAGAGCTGCGGCCCAGTATTTCCAGGGTAAGTACATGTAACAGTATTTCCAGGGTAAGTACATGTAACAGTGGGACCCATATATATATAGCTGGACCTTTTATAAGTACCAGGTAGCTAATTTATTACATCTTCCGTTATAACACATATAGCTCATCTTCTGCATGTTTTCTCGTCCAGACTTTGAAAACGTTCATACATATATAAAAATAAGGTGAATACCCGGTAAGTTAACTACAAAATGTACATGCAGTAGAAAACATAAACTGTTTTCAAAAATCGAAAGCTCATTTACTACTCATACATTGCAATGGCACATGGGAGTCACTACATCCATTTGATTTTTTGGTCGCTGATAATTCATGTACCTAAAAAATGCAAGTTGAAATGAGACTGCAGTACTCAAAATTAGTAATACAACATTGTCATGTTGCTCTGATTGCCAGGATTAAATCTAAAGGGAGATAATCTATATAGCTACTGTAAATTATTTTTTTTACAAATATCTGGATGAAAGAAAAAAATACATCAGTTTTAATATATTAAAACATGAAATTATTATTTAAGAGGTCTAGCTGGTGGACAGAATACCAATTTCACTGTGTATTATTCAAGAGGTATCGGACAAAATCCCTGATTTTGTAGCTTATATTTTAATGAAATATCAATCAGAATCCAAAATTATCTTGATTTAGTTGACATTTAAATTAAGAGATATTAGACAGAATCTCAAATTCATTACTGATTATCAAAATTTTACAATGCAAATGTTAAATAAAATAAGTACAAACTGAAAATATGTTTACGGGTTGTTGTTTTAAATGGAATATATTTGAAAATTTCAATCCCAGGATAAGACACGTGCTATATATATATTGGGCTGTTCCTCCAGATCAGCAATCCAGAAATTCTTGGTGGGGTTTTGATTTTTTCAGAGGACTGTAATGCCTTGGGCATTCATAATGTCTACGAATTACATCTGAAAGAAGTCTTATGTTTAAATGACATCAAAATTATGGATGGTTTAAAATGGGAACTTTTTTTATTTTTTATATCCAGAACTGCCACTGTATTTCAACATTGTCAAAGTTAGTGTGCTTTCTGAAAATACTATAACATACACAATCAAGTGTATATGTTTACTTACAGGGAACTATAGATCAATCAAGTGTATATGTTTACTTACAGGGAACTACAGATCAGCAATGCATGACTGTATTTTTGCCAGAAAGTTTAATTCGACACATATGAAGGCTATTACGAAAGGTATGTATGAAAACATCAGTGTATGTTCACTTCAGGTAGGCAGATGGTTTCTAGACAATATCTGTTTTGAATATCATTATTTCAGTTCAATTGTTATACATACCAGCAGCAATAATTAGGTAAAAGAAAAGATGAAAAATAAAAAACACAATTATGATACAAATTATTACAACTTAAATTATGAATCACTCTTGTTGGCTCAGTTGTTAGTGCAATGGTGATCCTAAATTGGGAGGAAACCGGAGTACCCGGAAAAATCCACATAGTCGGGCAGGTCACCATATACCTTTTCACGTCTGATTGGGGAATAAAACCATGGCTATGTTGATGAATGGCCAGTGCTTTATCCACTGTGTTACCCGAACACTTAAAAATTAGATTAATTTTGAATTCTGAGATGACTTTCTTGAGTTCACCAATTACATTTTTAATGTTCATCAAACTAACATAAAATTATGTGCAATGTGATTGCTAAATTATTGCCTGTGTTTTGTGTTTCAGGTGCTCAGTGTTGTATGGAAATGAAGCGGTACAATGAAGTTGACAGGTGGTGTTCAGCAGGACTGATGGTATAGTATATTAACTGAAGGATTATTAGGGCACAGTATCGGAGATACGGGTGCCCTATAGTAATCACTCTGTCTGTCTGTCTGTCTGTCCGTCCACAAATTTTGTTCCTGGCTGATATCTTTAGTATTTATTGACCAATGTACATGAAACTTGGTCAAGATGTTCAGTTTATAAAAATACACATTGAAGTAAAAAGTCAAGGTCAAAGGTCAAGGACATTAGGTTCAAAGGTCAAATTTTACATCTTTCCACTGATGAACATTTTGTTATGACATTATGAAGCAAAGTTGATCAGAATTAAACAAGGATTTAACTGACCAAAGGTCAAGGTCACTTGGTCAAAGGTCAAGGTTAAAATTTTGTACCTTTTCATTTAGTAACATTTTGTTATGACATTATGAAGCAATGTTGTTCAGAACTTAACACAGAGTCAACTGACCTTAGTTCAAAGTTACTGGGTCCAAAGGGTTAAGGTCAAGTTTTGTATTTTTCACTGANACTGACCAAAGATCAGGGTCACTGGGTTAATGGTCAAGGTCATTTGGGTCCAAAGGTCAAAGACAAAGTGGATCTCTGACTTTGACCCTGGCTCTTGATGGAGAAGGTATATAAGGTGAAATAAAACAAATCAAAGCTAACAAATGAGTATTGCACCGGTAATTACATTTCTGTAAGCCCAGCAAATATGGAGGTGGAAGGAAACACATCACATCATAGTACATGTAAAATGTATATTTTGCTTCCTTGCGATTCTTTTTGAAGTCCAAATGTCAAACGTCAAGCTCAGCTATATGGGCAGATTGCTTCTTGATGATTATGGGGGGATATAATTGCCACAAGACGGGGCCCTTACTGACCTGTCAGTGTTCTAGTTGTTTTGTTTGACATTCTTGATTTAATATTTCTGTTAATTTTGCTTACTTTGAAACCAACCAAAGATGTGAGGATCAGGTGACAAATCTTGATTTTAGTCTATCCCCCATAAGTTGATTTCTGAATTGTTCTCAAGGTCCAATTGTGTTTCCCATTTATACCCTCTTTTTATTCTACCTTCCCATTTATAGCCACTTTTCTTTATAAACATGTCAAAATTATTGTCTGAAAGATACTGTAGATATAGATTATAGATGATGCACTCTAAAAAGTAAGATTTTTACCATAATTTATAACTTTTACTTAAATCAAATAAATGCATTTGTATTGTACTTTTTTGCCTGTGGGGACTGTGTGTTGCATTGAAATAGACTTAGCTTCAAATTTCACTTGTGATAAGACAAGAAATTTCACTTGTGATAAGACAAGAGTTGTGCATCTATCCCATGCTTGAGTTGCTGGCAGGATTGAAAGCTGTGGACTGGATTGTCTTGCAAAAACATTTGTATTTTGCCTAAAATGTGGGTTTTAAAATTTTCGTATTATATTTAAAAATACAGAACAGTGTCAAGAAATAATTTTAAACAATTCCTCAGAATAAAAACATTGATTTGACTGTTCTTACTTTATCAGTGGCGACCGATGATTACATTACTGATACATATTATGAACAAAGAATCTTTATGAACTTGCCTTTTTTCCAAATATATGCACTTTGTAAATTAAAACAGAAATTGAATGAAACCTTGATTTCTTTAAGTCATCCATACTTTAATTCTTCAAATTATTTTATATTCAGATGGAACCCACGAATGAAAAACTGTTGGAAATGAGATTAAAAGCAGCTAAGTTGCTGGTAAGATATGCTTTTACAAAACATTTGAGGTCGCTAACAAAGGTAAATTGGCAGATTTTTTAGCTGTCAAAAGAAGATTTGTACAATATACCTGAAACCCAACAGACACTTTATTTGTGATATTAGAATTAAGCAAAATTTACAATTTTATGAAAGCTATCTTACAAAAAATCTTTCTTCTAACAGAAAGGACAAGAAAGAGACCAGCGAAAGGAAGATTCCAAAGACAGACAGGAGCAAGCAAAAGAAATGAAATTAATCAGAGAAATTCAGGTATCTTTCTGTCATCCTTGTTATCCTGGTATTTTTGCTCAAAATATAAAAAAAACTTTTACAGGGAAGATATTATAAGAGCTAGTGAATACTTAAATGTGAATGAATTGCTCTCATCAAAACTATCAGGGCTGTTGAATCTTACAGATTAGAGTGACGTAATACATTTCGAGTTGATTTGTGACTTGGAAACGAAATTTGTTTTGTCAGTCTATGTCTCTTTCATTATTTCATCATCTTTTGCTCCAAAACCCACCGCAGAATACCCAGATAGGAATGTGAGTAAAATTCTTGTACTAATAGAGTCGAGGGATACAGCTAGCAGGTTTGAAGTTGAAAGATGTACTAATTTGTTATATAAAGTCCAGGAATACAGCTAGCAGGTTTGAAGTTGAAAGATGTACTAATTTGTTACATAGAGTCGAGGGATACAGCTAGCAGGTTTGAAGTTGAAAGATGTACTAATTTGTTAATAGAGTCGAGAGATACAGTTAGCAGGTTTGAAGTTGAAAGATGTACTAATTTGTTATGTAGAGTTGAGGGATACAGCTAGCAGGTTTGAAGTTGAAAGATGTACTAATCTGTTATATAGAGTCGAGGGATACAGCTAGCAGGTTTGAGGTTGAAAGATGTACTAATCTGTTATGTAGAGTTGAGGGATACAGCTAGCAGGTTTGAAGTTGAAAGATGTACTAATCTGTTATATAGAGTCGAGGGATACAGCTAGCAGGTTTGAAGTTGACAGATGTACTAATTTGTTATGTAGAGTCGAGGGATACAGCTAGCAGGTTTGTAGTTGAAAGATGTACTAATTTGTAATGTAGAGTCGAGGGATACAGCTAGCAGGTTTGAAGTTGAAAGATGTACTAATTTGTTATGTAGAGTCGAGGGATATAGCTAGCAGGTTTGTAGTTGAAAGATGTACTAATTTGTAATGTAGAGTCGAGGGATACAGCTAGCATGTTTGAAGTTGAAAGATGTACTAATTTGTTATGTAGAGTCGAGGGATATAGCTAGCAGGTTTGAAGTTGACAGATGTACTAATTTGTTATGTAGAGTCAAGAGATACAGCTAGCAGGATTGAAGTTGAAAGATGTACTAATTTGTTATGTAGAGTCGAGAGATACAGTTAGCAGGTTTGAAGTTGACAGATGTACTAATTTGTTATGTAGAGTCGAGGGATACAGCTAGCAGGTTTGAAGTTAACAGACAGTAAAATACATCCAAGTCTCCTTACCAACCTAGAAGTGCCGAACGCGGGCAACGCCAAAGTCCACGTGGATACCGACAACAAACTTGTGTGGCCGGTCCTCTTCATGTACCCGGAGCACACCCAGACAGACTACGTGGAGGCCTTTAGGGAGGATGTCAGGTCTCTAACTAAAATCTCCTTTGTTGAAACATTAAAACTGACAGTGCAAATTGACTATCGATATACCATACTACATATAGAATTAAGTCCTTGTCGAGACATCTCAAAGAAATCACGACCTGTACATCTCTGGGGCAGACTGTACATGTAACAGTGGGGAAATCATTGTAATGAAAATGATAAAGGGGAGTCCAGTGCTTACTATATATATGACCACAAAAGTGACAAGGTGACTTTATTTAGTTTTTACTGTGATAGGCCTGTTGTGTGTATTTTGATAGTTGCAGGGGGAAAAGGAAGTTATTGTTTTGCATGTAACAAAGACCGTATTGTTTAAATAGATTTTCAATTATTGCTCTGGACCGTCTTTAAACAATAATGTGAGTCATTTTCCATATCATCCTTAACAGTATAGTCTTTTTGCATAGATCTTTATACCTGTCCGCTAGACAATAATCGACTGTCTTATTGAATTTGAAGATAATAGTCAACTGTTTTTAAGTGTATCAGATTATATCATTTAAAACATAAATCCAACATGCATTCAAATTTCAGTTTCGTTTGCTCCCATATGAAAGTAAAGGTCATCTGTATCAAGTTTATAGTAGCAATGATACCTTTGTGAGTAGTCAGTGTTCTTAAAATATAAAAATATGATTTGTGTGCTAAAAACTAGCTAAGCAGTCACGTTTTAATATTTTTGTCCCAGTATTTAGTTTCAGTAGTGATACTTAATGGTGCTGTTGTTTTCTGTACAGATTCATTGACCACATAGAGAACATGTTTGGAGCACACGTTGAGCCAGCACCATGGGACACGGACAAAAAGTACAAACAGGACACAATACAGGTAACATAACTGAACACGGTGGTACCTTGTTGTGTTGAGGGGTTTGATCTTCATTAACAGTAGAATGTACGGCCCTTTGTTCCTTTTGGATACGGATGTGGAATTATTGATCACTCGCAATAGTTTGCATAGTTATAAATGTTACTATGTTGTGTTATATACTTTTATCATACAACCACCAATGTACCTAAACTGGATCTGTCAGGCTCTGAACGATTTTTTGCTAAAGAAAGGCTGTTTTAATTCCAGGTATATTTTGAGGATAAAGAAAAAGAAACGCTTTATGAAGTCGACAGCAATGCTACCTTAAATCAGGTCCTGTCACATAAAAGGTAATTACTTGGTCGAGTTGTTTGCCATATAAAATATCACCAACTCCTGTTGAACATAAGGTTTTAAGATATGAACTACATCTCATTGTGCAGTAATAATTGTAATTTTCATGTACAGTGCGGAATCCAGTCTTGTTACATACAGTAACCTCCCATTACTCTCATTTTGGATATGATATTTTTTAAAGACAGGGCCAGAATACTTCCCTTGTCCATATTTATACACGTAGCTCTGTTGGTAAGAGTAACATGTCGGGGCCAGGATACTTCCCTTGTCCATATTTATACACGTAACTCTGTTGGTAAGAGTTACACGTCGGGGCCAGGATACCTCCCTTGTCCATATTTATACCGGTAGCTCTGTTGGTAAGAGTAACATGTCGGGGCCAGGATACTTCCCTTGACCATATTTATACAGGTAGCTATGTTGTTAAGAGTAACATGTCGGGGCCAGGATACTTCCCTTGACCATATTTATACAGGTAGCTCTGCTGGTAAGAGTAACATGTCAGGGCCAGGATGCTTCCCTTGACCATATTTATACAGGTAGCTCTGCTGGTAAGAGTAACATGTCAGGGCCAGGATGCTTCCCTTGACCATATTTATACAGGTAGCTCTGTTGGTAAGAGTAACATGTTGGGGCCAGGATACTTCCTTTGACCATATTTATATACGTAGCTCTGTTGGTAAGAGTAACATGTCAGGGCCAGGATGCTTCCCTTGTCCATATTTATATACGTAGCTTTGTTGGTAAGAGTAACAGGTCAGGGCCAGGATACTTCCTTTGACCATATTTATACAGGTAGCTCTGTTGGTAAGAGTAACATGTCGGGGCCAGGATACTTCCCTTGACCATGTTTATACAGGTAGCTCTGTTGGTAAGAGTAACATGTTGGGGACAGGATACTTCCTTTGACCATATTTATATACGTAGCTCTGTTGGGAAGAGTAACATGTCAGGGCCAGGATGCTTCCCTTGTCCATATTTATATACGTAGCTTTGTTGGTAATAGTAACAGGTCAGGGCCAGGATACTTCCTTTGACCATATTTATACACGTAGCTCTGTTGGTAAGAGTAACAGGTCAGGGCCAGGATACTTCCTTTGACCATATTTATACAGGTGTAGCTCTGTTGGTAAGAGTAACATGTCGGGGCCAGGTTACTTCCCTTGTCCATATTTATACAGGTAGCTCTGTTGGTAAGAGTTACAGATACTGCTGCTCTGTAGGTCCATATTTCAGGACCAATTTCGATGAGACTTCACTGGTATATTTGGTTTGGACAAGTTTAAATATAGGCGTAATCGGTGGAAGGTCAAGGTCACAATCACTAGAAACATTATTTCACCATCTCACTCTTAGCTTTATTGACAGATTTTCATGAAACTTCAGTTATATTTGCCTTTCAAGACATGCATATTTAAATATGGACATCATCAGTAAAGGTTAAGGTTAGTTTTAATATAAGATATAATTTAACCATCACACTCCTTGTCATCTATCTAGCGGCTGCCTCTCACCACAGATTTCTAAAAGAATTTCATCATTCCATTATTTATAACAATCCACAATGAAATTTGCAATTTTCATTTATTATGTTACAATTTATGTTGTAGATGTTTTTTCCTTTTCCCTTTTTCGTGTGTTGGTTTAGTATCAACTATTTATGTTATTCGTTCAATAAAATCTGCATTGTATCAATTTTTCATAAAGGCAGCAGAAAATTCTAGTGCTTGTCTTTATGCGAAAATTGTGTACTCATACATGTACACTAACTAACCACACCCTACATAATAAAAAAAATGTGATTTGTAACACTTGTAATGCCTTGTTCCCATATAGCACCTGACCTATTTTATATTATTTTCACAGATTCATCGTCCAGTTTGGAACACCTAGTTTTATTTTGCTGATTAAAGGATCACGTTGTCAAAGCAATTTTCTAAAATCTTACAAAAATGTAAAATCAGCATCATGAATAAAAGAATTTAAATCCCATGTGTAATTGTGATATATTTTGTGAGAGTGTTGAGACAGTGCAAGCCTTGTAAATAGTAGTGATAACATTTTGATGAAATTTAAAAGTTATGTATTCTCTTTGGAAAATTTGCACATCAATTAATGTTTCGACAAACCTGGATCCAGGCCATGGTAACCACTCTATATACTGATAACACTTTCACCCCCAAGTTTGAGAGAAGCATTTTATTGCAAGTGTGGTGAAAATCTAAATCAACAGATTCATTGAATGGTTAATGTATTACAGCACTAAAGTTAACAGAACAGCACCAACAGTTTTAATCAACATTTATTCAGTAGTACAGTAACACATATATATCCCTTCTATTCATTAACAAAACAAAAGTTTATCACAATCATTCCATAACTTTCACACACATTCTCATCAACTCATAATTGCTATCAAAAGGTCATGTCATTCAATCTATCACAGAGAAGACACTTCTAAAATCCACATAGAAAATTTCAATAACATAGCTTATAAGACAAATTTGTTATGTTTAATGTGAATAATGCCTCTGACAAATATAAGGTTTAATATTTCATATGATGATTATTTGTTGTTCTATTTTGTCTTCAAATTCACTCATTTTACTTTATAAATAGTCTTGTTTTCTTTCATTTATTATAACATACATGAACATATATAGTGTCACAATCATTACATAACATACGAAAATTACTTAAAAGTTTTCTAAGCGAAAGTTTAATGGAGTTTTCGTATTTATACTGCAATAAGCCAGGGGAAACCAACACATAATCTCTGACTGAAAGTAGGGGATGGGCTTATTACAGGACACTGAAAAGCTCTTGTTGGCATTTCTAACTGTAATATATACTGGTCATTTTATTACCAAGCATGGGCTTATTGCCACATTAATCCATAGGGGAATCCTTATTTATGTCGAACATTTGTGAAATTAAGACTGATTACAGCTAAAGGGAAGTAATAAGTTCACCACCATTATGTACACAACCAATTCTTTTTTGGCACTTACAGTTTATTACATGAAAAGGCTCAAGTAATCAATAAAGCATATAGCAATTGATTCCCTTGCTGTATGTGAAGATAAGTAGATTCTGACAGTGGTATACCTTATCTGAGGTGTATAGTATATATGGTCTATACCAGGTATATTTCATCTGAGGGCAATATAACACATCAAGTGTATAGTATATATGGTCTATACACTACCAGGTATACCTTATCTGAGGGCAATATAACACATCAGGTGTATAGTATATATGGTCTATACACTACCAGGTATACCTTATCTGAGGGCAATATAACACATCAGGTGTATAGTATATATGGTCTATACACTGTACCAGGTATATTTTATCTGAGGGCAATATAACACATCAGGTGTACAGTATATATGGTCTTTACCAGGTATATCTTATCTGAGGGCAATATAACACATCAGGTGTATAGTATATATGGTCTTTACCAGGTATATCTTATCTGAGGGCAATATAACACATCAAGTGTACAGTATAACTGGTCTTTACCTGGTATATCTTATCTGAGGGCAATATAACACATCAGGGGTACAGTATATCTGGTCTATACCAGGGATATCTTATCTGAGGGCAATAACACATCAGGTGTATAGTATATCTTGTCTATACCAGGGATATCTTATCAAAGGGCAATATAACACATCAGGTGTACAGCATGTCTGGTCTATACCAGGTATATCTTATCTGAGGGCAATACACCTCAAGTATTACGAGGGCACATACAAATACTGTAGAATGTCAAATGGAAATCTGACTGCTGTAAACTGCAATATCATTGAAGACCAATTTTCATCCTCTAGTCAATTAAACGAATTGCCAAATATTAAATTTGCACTGCCATTGCTTTCAAAATTGTATACTACACAATAATTGATATTCCTGATGTGTAAAAATTTGCACTCTCATTCAAGAGTAAAAATATGGTTGAGAAATTTCCTATTTTAATACTGTTCCTCAGAGGAAACCGTACAATTCTTCTCCACCTTTAAACTAATTTATACAACGACTACTATTCACCTGATGTTATTTGCAGGGAAGTAATAATTAACTTTTTCTGAAATATTCCCCATTTTCTGTCTTAAAAAAAGAAGATTTCCAGACGTTTTTTAACATTCCTGAAAACAATGTTTTTCAACTCAGAAATGTGAAGCCAGCGTTGCAGAGGAAATTCAAGATGCTTATGTTGTACCAGCATCAGTGTGAGCATTAATGTCCAAGTGTGTACGCCGGTATTAAAATCCAGCAGCCACTCACAGCAGAACTAGATATTTACTACTGCCCTGTCCACACCTTTGGCAGAATTGTTGTAGGTTCCTCCGAACACTAAATGTTCATTTGGTTATCAAGTACTCAGCACTTGTTGGTAGGTGTGTTAAGAAAAGTGGAATCCAGCTGTGTTAAAACAGTTTAACAATCTGAAAAAAAGTATACACAAGATCAGAATCTGAACCGATTTGTTATTGATAAAAAAGGATATTTCATATTCTATGCATGAATGGGATATTTTTTATATTTTGTTATAAAATTCTGAATGTAACATTAAGTGCCTTTGTCTCTATAATAGGACACTGTATGTATGAATGAGCAGACTAGCACTATGTTCATATGTATCGGGTGAACCATTACACTTTAATCTGAGTGAACATGATTTTTAGATCCAAGGTATTTTAGGGTTAAAATAACAGTTATGTATCGCTAACAGTAAACACTATGATGTACCACATATAATATTCACCTACTACATATAACAATCAATAAGACCAGCATAACTTACCCAAGAAAATCGTCAACGTGTAACAATCACCGTGATAACTTATAATTACCCAAGAAATCGTCAATGTATAACAATCACTGTGAGAACTTATTATTACCCAAGAAATCGTCAATGTATAACAATCACTGTGAGAACTTATTATTACCCAAGAAATCGTCAATGTATAACAATCACTGTGAGAACTTATTATTACCCAAGAAATCGTCAATGTATAACAATCACCGTGATAACTTATAATTACCCAAGAAATCGTCAACTTGTAACAATCACCGTGATAACTTATAATTACCCAAGAAATCTTCAATGTGTAACAATCACTGTGATAACTTATAATTACCCAAGAAAATCGTTAACGTGTAACAATCACTGTGATAACTTGTAATTACCCAAGAAATCGTCAACGTGTAACAATCACTGTGATAACTTATAATTACCCAAGAAATCGTCAATGTATAACAATCACTGTGATAACTTATAATTACCCAAGAAAATCGTTAACGTGTACCAATCACTGTGATAACTTGTAATTACCCAAGAAATCGTCAACGTGTAACGATCACTGTGATAACTTATAATTACCCAAGAAAATCGTTAACGTGTAACAATCACTGTGATAACTTGTAATTACCCAAGAAATCGTCAACGTGTAACGATCACTGTGATAACTTATAATTACCCAAGAAAATTGTTAACGTGTAACAATCACTGTGATAACTTGTAATTACCCAAGAAATCGTCAACGTGTAACGATCACTGTGATAACTTATAATTACCCAAGAAAATCGTTAACGTGTAACAATCACTGTGATAACTTATTACCCAAGAAATCGTCAATGTATAACAATCACCGTGATAACTTATAATTACCCAAGAAAATCGTTAACGTGTAACAATCACTGTGATAACTTATTACCCAAGAAATCGTCAATGTATAACAATCACTGTAATAACTTATAATTACCCAAGAAATCGTCAATGTTTAACAATCACCATGATAACTTATAATTACCCAAGAAATCGTCAACTTGTAACAATCACCGTGATAACTTATAATTACCCAAGAAAATCGTTAACGTGTAACAATCACTGTGATAACTTATTACCCAAGAAATCGTCAATGTATAACAATCACTGTAATAACTTATAATTACCCAAGAAATCGTCAATGTGTAACAATCACTTTGATAACTTATAATTACCCAAGAAATCGTCAACTTGTAACAATCACCGTGATAACTTATAATTACCCAAGAAATCGTCAACTTGTAACAATCACCGTGATAACTTATAATTACCCAAAAAATCGTCAATGTATAACAATCACCGTGATAACTTATAATTACCCAAGAAATCATCAATGTATAACAATCACTGTGATAACTTACCCAAGAAAATCGTCAGTGTCCATGGTTCGAGCACGTCTCTTTTCAAACTCCTTTTCCGTTAGAAGATCATTTATCTTGGACTTTACATCAAGATCTGCTGGTACGGGCTGTACAATAGAAAATAAACTCCTATAGAAGCACAAAGAATCGGGATTTTAAGTGTTAAAATTTTAGGACAAGTTAGCATATAAGATTTGATTTTGATCATAACATTTCTCAAAACCTAAAATAAAATGTTATTCAACCCATTTAGTGCAGCAATGACATCATTCCAAATAATTACCAGAGGCCCGATGGGCATATATCACTCGCCTACTATTTCATATCTTTGACCTTAAAAGAAGGCAAAGGTAAAAATTTGTTTAAATTGGCTAAGTGTCAGTACTGTGTTGGAAGCTTTTCATATTCTAAACCATACAGATCTTGATTGCAAAATCTAACCTTCAATGTTTGTCCAAACATTCATTTAGATCCAACAATTAATAGCACTTTTCATCATTAAGCTACTAGCCATGAACTCTAAGTTTCTTGACTACATGGAAGTCGTTGAAAGGTTTTATCACATTTGACCTCTGTGGCCTTGAAAGTGGGTCGAGGTCATGTATTTGGAGAAACTTGATAGCTCATATCCCCACATACAACTGGCCAAATATCACCCTAGTCCTATTTGTTATTCAGAAGACCTTATTTGAAGGCTTCAATAAATTGATCCTATGACCTTAAAAAGTGATATTCTTTTTCTAAAACTTGAAAGCCCTTCTGTAACCAACCTGCCACTGGCCAAATATCACCTTAATGATCTTGATTATTAGAAGTCATTTAAATGTTTTGACAAATTTGACCCCTGTGACCTTGAAAATGGATCAAAGTAATTCATTTGAACACAGGTGATAGCCCTTCAACCCAGCGTGCTACTGGCTAAATAACACTGCCCTTCGCCTCTTGGTTATTCTAGCAGAAGAAGTCATTTACAGTAAAAAACAAGAATTCCTCGGAAGTGGATGTGTCGCCTGCGCAGGAAGCTGGGAGATTACGAAGAAATAGATACACTTTTCATTTCAAGAAATAATGTTAAAAGTAAGCAATAATCATAGATTATGTTTTTGGATGGCATCATTTTGTTATATAATCTGTTATTCTGGGAGGAATACTCTGAGTTTTAAGGAACTTGCTATGGATACTCATTGTCTCAATTCCACTCCAATATGGTGTCTACAAGCAAGACCAGCATCGCCTCATTGGTATCCATAAAAAAAATCTTGATAATGAAAGTATACTTAGCACTGCATGAAGTTTGAGTTTGATCGGCCCAAGGAAACTCAAGTGATCGCACGAAAACAGATTTTCTATTTATAGTAACAGTGACCTTGACCTTTGACCTTCAGACCTGAAAAGCAATCCCAAGGAAGCACTGCATGAAGTTTGAGTTTGATCGGCCCAAGTAAACTCAAGTTATCGCATGAAAACCTCTGCGCCGACGCCGACATAGCAATACCTATGTGTCACCAGCTTTTCGCAGGGGACACAAAAATAACTTAATGATGGATGGACACCTGACACCTGACACCATGGCATAAGCTCACTTGGCCCTTCACACAAGGTGAGGTAGCATAACATTGTGAGGGAAAATGTGTGTGATTTACTTACAATTGAATGTAAAGAACAGTGGGTTCTGTAGTTCTTCTCCAGCAGTTCCAGGACTGTTTTAAACCTGAATTATGAGATAAGGCAATATGGAATTCTGAGGGGATTACTTGTCACTAATTCATTAATATTTAAACAGTTCTTTTATACCTTAGAACGTAGGTGACCTATAGAAGTGAAACGTAGCAGATTGTTTGCTTTGTTTGACCAAATCACCGTGTTTTTAATTGGTTTTAAAATCACCAGGTATGTAGGTACAGGAGGGGGCCACATAACCAAATGGTTGTTCTTATACAGTACTACATGTTAAAACCTCACTTCCTTGAATCCAATACAATATTATATACATAATTTTACCATAGTCCAAGTCTTGTTTTGTCTGTTAAAAACTCATTTAGAACTATCACACTGAAACATCTTTAAACCTTGACAGAAACCTTCACATCTTATCTTGGTTCTATGGTAACATATTTCCGCCATCGGCTTACAACTTGCAAGCTATGTATGTCAACATAATTTTTAAAAGATGTCACCATAATTTGAGAAGATGATGACATAATCTATGGATAGGTCACACTATTTTTTCAAACTATGTTAACATATTGTAAAAGAAATCGGAGATAAAATTCAGCCAAGTGGGTAACTCAGCTTTTTTCGTGTTTATACACAGATGTGACATCAACTTAACACTTACTGATGCAAAACAGAACAAGAACAAGGGTCGTACGAAATCGTTTTCCTGGAAATAATGTGATCTGATACTAGCTTATATAAACTTTGATTCACTTACCATTCAGCCTGGTTTTAGGTTCTGTATACATTTGTATTGACAGTATTAATTAGACTTACGATAGGCAAGTCGATGTCACATCCGAGGATTACATCATTGTAACATGATAAAAAGTCCAATTAACAAACTTACAAAAAAAATATATCATGACAAAATTACTAATGTTGATATACTCTGAGACTATGTCCACATCTTCCCATGTTATGTTGACTTCTTTTAGAGATTATATTATCGACATACATAAATCGGAAGTCTAGGGCAGAAAAAATGCCACCATATGAGTCATTATTTCAACAACAGACTAACCAGAGGTGTAACGGAAGACAATACTGTAATTGTAAAGAAAGATGAAATATGATACCAACAGTAAATGCCCATGTGTATTGCAATTGAGGCAGCTGATCAATTTTTAATAGTCACACACATCACGAAGTGACAGCACTGATTCTACAATGGGCCCCACATCAGTGACCTCATACAATCATGCAGTAAGATACAATTTGGGGCGATATATTTATTCCTCAAAGCTAGTTGCAGAGAAACATGGTTTAAGCGTGTAAACATTTCCATTAAAAACAAATTGTACGAAATATGCATATTCAGTAAAATCGATGAGTTGCCAACATATACTAATTATTTGAATTATAAATTACAATGTCTATATGAAATGTTTCTATGAAAATGTATAATTTCATTGTATATGGACATTCCATCGCCTTCGATTCTCACCCAAAGAGGTTACAATACTAATACACTTAAATTCATATTCAAAAATGTGTTAGGAATGATTCCATTTCAAGAAAACTCACTTGAAGGCAGCTCCAATAGTTTTGTTTTTCCGAGAAAAGCATATTCTCACTAATCCGTCCCACTCCTTAAAAATAATGTTTAGTTCTAAATTCATTGTACAACTATATAAATCAGCAAAACTCATCAATACCAAATACATTCTGAAATAAATCCTGCAGACAAATTTCAATGCCAAAATTAATCAACAATTCGAAACTGAATATGGTCGTATATGTTGAGCAATTCATCCTGTAATAACTGAGCTTTTTTCTTGATTTCAAGAATAACATCAACAGCTTAATTATTATTCTCAATCGATAAAATTACATGTTCTCATGAAATCTCTTTTATAGTCACTGTTTATTAAATATCATCATTTTCCCACAATCTGTAAAAGCCAATAGTCTACATAGCTACATTCAAGTAAGATAACGTGACCTTGAAAAACATATATGACTGATTTTCTCTCATTTACATCAAACGTACATAAAATTGTCTCCCTTAGACCATTTATCTAGAAGTAGTTATACCTGAAAGTTAATGGGAGGTGGAGGGTTTCTGGGCTCAATCCTGACAACACTTGACTCTACTTTTGGTGGTGGTCTGAAGTTGTTCTTGCCAACCTGTAAATTAAAAGTAAATATATTGATACACAAAAAAAACCACTTTCATTGTATAATGATGTTCTAAACATGGACAGCAATTGTATCTATTTTCAGTTTTGTTTTTAATACTTATTATATAGTCTAAAGGTACCGGGAAAAAAAAATTGTTAACATTTTAAAACTGTGCAGGACTATGTGACAGATTCACAGCCTAATGGTTAGAGGTTCTCGCCTGGAGCCCTGTCAGTTACTGATGACGAAGCAAAACAACTAGATTCTGAAAATGGATACCAACCTTCATCAGGTGATCAACTCTGGCCAGGAGCTGTGTGTTGACAGACAGACGACAGTAGAGTTTGTCCCCTGGCTTAGCCACAAGTCTCTGAGCAAATTCTCTTTGGAACATCACCACAGCACACCTGTAAACATCACTCTGTCATAGTAGTACACAGAAGATTGTACATACGTCAGCCTCGCAAATCGTCACAAGTAGTACACAGACTGTACATACGTCAGTCTTATATCTCATGAAAACATCACAAGTAGTAAGCAGATTGTTTGTTTGTTTGTTTGTTTGATTTTGTTTAACGTCCTATTAACAGCTATGGTCATTTAAGGACGGACCCCCCTGTGTGCAAGATGTATGCGTGTAGTGTATGTGTGTGTGTTTTGGGAGGCTGCGATATGTTCGTGTTTGTCTCCTTGTGATAGCGCGGAACTGATGCCGACTTTATAGTGCTACCTCACTGAAACATACTGCCGAAGACACCCAGCAGGACGCCCCACCCGGTCACATTATACTGACATCGGGCGAACCAGTCGTCCCACTCCTCATTTGCTGAGTGTTAAGCAGGAGTAGAGACTGCCATTTTTAAAGACTTTGGTATGTCTCGGCCAGGGGACAGAACCCAAAGCAGATTGTACATTTGTCAGCCTTGCAAAACGTCCCAAATAGTACACAGATTGTATATAAATCAAGATATTGTCAAGGAGTATGATTTCTTTTTCTCCATGATAATTATTTGTTTCTGAAATTTTTTGGGTAAAAAAAACATTTTTAAGAAAGGTAAGTGTTTGGAAAAAATCAAGATCAAGTCATCATATTATTTGTTCATAATTTCATGAAGCTGCATACTTTCTCGATCAGTTGATCATTTGCAGGATTTAAAAAATCTAACAGTAATGGTCTCTAGTTTCACGATTTATAAAGAAATATTTTTACCTGAAAAAAGGGCGATGTAGCAAAAGTTTGAACACAAATGGCGAAGAAATCTGGAAAAGATATGAAAAAAACCTTCAACAGAAATATAGAAGTTCTATATAGTAACTACCAATAGTCTGATATGATGTAAGCCTTGTTAAAATTCATTAAAAAATATTTATATAACAATGATAATGAATAATTGTATGGACTCCTTCTATCAACTAGAAAACATACTACAGTAACAGGGAAGAAAAAATGCAATGGCCTGAGCAGGATTCAAACTGAGAATCTCCCAACCATAGATGGAGGCTAGCTCTCCGATAATCTCCCAACCATAGATGGAAGCTAGCTCTCCGATGACCTTCCAACCATAGACGGAGGCTAGCTCTCCGATAATCTCCCAACCATAGATGGAGGCTAGCTATCTGATAATCTCCCAACCATAGATGGAAGCTAGCTATAACTAATTGAACTATATACTAGTCCTGCAATCGATCCAGTCCAGTTCCACTACATTTCTTCCTCTTTTAACAAAATCATTGACCCCAATGCTCTTACGCTCAACGACCTGACCAAGATTCCACCCTGGGACCTCGGGACTATTAATACATGCTCTTCGACTAACCAAGTAAGCTGTACCTGGTCGCTAGCGATCAAAAAGTCTGTTTCTGCTACACTACTCCAAAACAAGGAAATCTTATGACATATTCTATTAATCATCTTGTTGATTACATTAACCATAATAGAGGGAATTAAAGTTACAGAGTTATACTTACAGAACTTTTCATTGGTAAGTACTGAAACTATGGCTACCGTTTACCCCTCTTGTTTTATGTTATATTCGTATATAAACATTTAGGATTTATTTTGACCAACAAATTATACCACTGAAGAGATACATGTACTAAATGATAAATTGTGTACCTGGTAGGGCAAATTTGCAACACAGATATCAAAGAATGGTAATTCAGTCTTCAGCACATCTCCTACAATCAGGTGTAGTTTATTCTGTACCGGCCTGCAAACAGAAACAAACTTTTAGATACATATAACAATTTGGAAAGTATACAGGAAATCAGTGAATACTGTATAATTGGAAATATTCGCTGCAGTTTAATTTTCGCTCTCTGGAATGAAGGCGAATTTATCATTTCAGCGAACATTAGTAAACAGCATATTATACATAGTAATGAAATGTGAATGGCGAAATTAATACTGGGCCAAAATTGATTTCTTGGGCGAAGAGCAAAATTTTAACCGGGCTGAACAATTCCCGGTACATGTATGCAGTAAATGTATAAATTAATGATTACAGTTAGGATCCCGTGGAAACAGAGAGGTATACATGTAGGGTACAATAATGAAATGAGAGGGTAATGATCAAAAGACTACTTAAGTAGGGATGTCGGTTATTGAACTAATTTGGCATGGAGTATATACATTGGCCAAGATAAATAAATGGTGTATATATGAAGGCTGTGGTTCCCTCTAAAGACAAGAGGGAATGGGATGAGAAAGGGAAACAGGGGTTGGTCTGTAAAAGACAACATTTCTATGATGAGACCGATGATTGTAACGTTTTGACTTCTCTCTATCATTGACATTTCCTGAAAAAGAATTATCATTCATCAATCTGCTATGACCTAAAAATATGGCTCTGATATAAAATTTGGAAACAAATATTTTTTATTCTAATTTCATTCTGTCCTATCAATCATACTGACTTACATCCCGTTTCCCAGTATGAAATACTTCCTGATCCGTTTGTGTACTGATAGATGTCAATTTCCTTAAGTGGTTATTGTTAATTTATAATTCGTTGTAATACAATGATTCAAGTACTTGTAAGGGTCACAGCTTTGTCTACTTTCGGGGGACTATCAATGACAGACCACAGGAAGTATATATACAAGGACAGGAAGATGAATATTTGAATGAGATACACAATATGATGTCTGGGTTTACAACCCTTGATTACAGTGTTATCATAATTATAATTACAATTTGTATATACTGACTGATGAACTGTGGTTTATAACTCAACTAAATGTAAAAATTTGCTTTCATCCTGTAAAACATCATAACAGGTACAAATTATCATCAATTTTTCTAGCCATATTAAGTCATGTGTTGATGAATACTGGAGACCGGTGAACATAATATACAGAATACATTTATTAGATTTTTAAAAAAATATAAAGGAGAGTTGTCACACTTTTGTTTAAAGTTATGCATTATATTCAGCCCAGGGTACTTCATTAATAGAACTTCAGACTTTGTATAATCATTTCTTAATAAATGACTGACTTTTTTTCCCCAAGATTTCAAATTGGGAAATTTGAACTGAATTGGGAATAATTTGTCAAAAAAAGGATGGGTTGGTGGATGTTTTTACTGTTGGTAATAGGGCAATTTATAATTACCTGACCCTCAAAGATCGTAGTTTATCTTAATAAGGTTGGATAAAGTTGTAACTACTCACGTGCTTTGGACCCTCTTTTGTAGCTCAGCTGCCATCCTAGGATCTATTTCACAGGCTATAACCTACACGTACATAACAAACGTGTTTTCATGTCAGCATATTAAGTCAAAAAACTGCAAAAACGCTACATCAGAGTGCTGTGTTAATCATTCACTTAACACAAGACAAGTTCATATTAAAGTAAATCAATTGTAATAAAGGAAGAAAACTTATACCGTAAAAAAATCCTAGCCAAGACAATTACGGTAAGATTTAAATGAATTTTCTGGATATTAATTACTTTCAGTTTTTGTAAAAAAAATGTTTTAACTGTATCACTACAGTGAGTATTAACTTCATAAGATAAATCTTGTTACAAGAGAGGAAAAATGCACTGCCTGTAAATATAAAATTTGATGGTGAAATATGTCGGTGTAGAAAACAGTAACACTAACAAACCTTTTTTGTTTTTTCCAGTAATTTCATCGTCATATTTCCTGTTCCAGGACCAACTTCCAATGCCACATCCGTTGGTCGGAGTGCTGACTTAATTCAAAATTAAAAGACATGAAAATTGGGTTTTCAATTCGTTACCATACCTTATGTAAAAATCATCAAAATGACAGCAAAATGCATGGTATTTGACTATTTGTACCTCTATAGTGTATATATTCAAAATATTTAATACAACATCTGGAAACCAACTACATCATGTAATACACTGAAGCTTAACTTCAAAAAATACAAATACACATTTTGGTCATTTATTATTGTGGCTTAATGATACATTAAATTTAATCCGAGCATACAAATGTACTTTAAGCATTCAGTTAAAAAGAGCATTTCCTTAATGTAATTCTCTTATCATCAATAACGCATTTCACAAATCAATATCTCCAGAAGAAATTGGAAATTTTAAAGGGGCAAATTGGGAAAAATCAGACACTTTTCAATTGGGAATGAGGCCTTTAAACACACCTAAACAGTACACTGAAAAAAAACCTGTATTGTGAAATGAAGCCATAAGGTACATGTACCAGACCTTGTGAGGATAACTGGTTAAGAACTAGTCATTGCATCTTACCTTTTCAACCATACTGTTCACAATCAGTGGGTTTTTCAAGATATGCTGTCCAAAATCTTTGTTAAAGTTGATACCTGGTTTAAAAGAAACAAATATTATATACACACAAAATCCTAATACATGTGTGACAGATTTTAATTGTACATGGTCGGTTGGTGTGGTGGATAACGCACTTGCCTTTCACCAAGCCTTCCTTGGTTTGATTCCTCGATCAGATGTGAAAAGGTATGGGGTTTCCTACTCGACTACGTGGCTTTTCTTCCGGTACTTTGGTTTCCTCCAAAATTAAGACCCATTGTGCACTTACATCTAGGCCAACAAGAGGGATTCGTATAAGTTGAAATAACTTGTTTCATAATTGTTGTGAAAACAATTAAGTTATTTAACTCTACATAGGATTACGGTCACCTTCTAGCTTCAGGCAAGAGGAATTTCCTTTTAGCTCTGTGGTAAAGCATCCGACTAGGATCCTAAGGGTCGCATACAGTGGAAACATACTAATATTTTTCTGTTACAAATGGTGGTGTCCGTGTTTGGTGACAGGGAGTTAGAACCTGGGTTGTGGTGTTCGAGGGTGAACACATTTAAAAAGGGGGAGTAGTGTGGCAGTTTTTAATTGTACATATGATTACAGTCATTTTCTAGCATCCGGCTAGGAACCTAAGGGTCATGGGTTCGATCCCCGGTAAAAGCACACTTCATGTACTTGTTTTCTGTAACAAATGTATATTTATATGTATACAATCACATTTTCTGATTATAATCACTATTCCTCATCTAAGAACATGATCACAGAAAGAACACAAGACATTTCGGCGAATTATAGTCCCCCACCGAATGTAAAATGCACAGATGATAAATTCGTGCAGGAACTAATTCTATATATGAATGTTAGACAGACCCACCGTATTCAATAAGGAATAGTGTCGGTGACCTGGTCAAAAAACAGGGTGACCTACTTTGATATACGACACACCGCCTCACCAAGGTGAACCCATACCCTAAGTATAAAGTTCCAGTGACCAGAAGTGCAGGAGATAGAGCCCGGACAAGATAGCGGAAGGACAGACAGAAGGACGAACGGAAATGATGCAAAACTATAGTCTCTGCCCCCCCCTCCCCGGTTTCCTGTGGGGGACTAATATTAAAGACAGTTTATATAAATTTCAATGCCTATTTGTTCAAGTAATAATGTTTTCCAACAATATATGTTAATAACTTGATGGTACAGTACTGGATGGGGCAAAATTAAACCATATATATACTGACTATCATTCTGCTCATATTGCAGAAACTTAGAAAGTGTCAACAAATACACTGCACACTTCTAAAATACATTTTTCTGCACATTTTATGAAACCTCGATCGACAAGCATGTGATGTATCACTAGTACATTGAGCATGCATGTGAAAAATGCAGGAAAAAGTTGTGTATAAATTGACAGCAAAGTTTAGCATCAATTATTGAAGTTACATGTACAGCCAATACAAGTTGTCGATCCAGTAGCCTGTACTATTTAAATCACTTCACATGTGTATAGGTCTACTAGCCTAGTTTAACACAAACTGACATATATGACACTAATTTAAAAAACAAACTACGTACATAGTTAATTGTTGGATGATTTTGTCCTTTCCCATGCAACAGATAGAGAGTATCGGCTTCCACAAAGAATCAAACCAGCGACCCACAGCTTCTCAGTCCACTCTAAGATCTCTACCGATTCAGTGAAGCTAGAAAGTTACCATACTCATATATATGCACCATTAAAATCTGTTTCATCCCTCCCATCCTTCTTCAATGTGTTTGCTTTCTAACACTGGTTTAAGCCAGGTTCTAACTCTCTTTCACGACCAAGATGGCCACAGACATCATTGGAAGCAGGTAAGAGAGTATAGGGCACTTTCACTGTGGAACTAACCAGAGACCCCCTCCCCTAATTCTGCCAATTTAGCTAAAAGGAAAGTTTTCTCAGGCAGAAAGGCAATAGCACTAGCAAGCATATGTATAAATAAAACCTTCCATACCTGTCCTCGAGGTTATCTTTTATCTAGGTCATAGGCCTCACTGGCCCATCACACTTGTACACTTTCCTTGATCAATATCATCTTATCCATCGGGACTCAAGTGATGCAATACTGATAAATTATTTTTCCGTAATTCATGTTTTATGTAAAAAAATATATAAATATATTTAAAAAGATCACACATTTCAAATGTAAATGGCAGTAGAACACATTTGAAAGGAAAAGGACGAATTTATAACGGTATTGACCAACCCTTCGAAATAAATTGGGAGCACATCACGTCGCGCAACTTGGCCATTCCCGTGCACGTGTCATCGATTGGCACCTAATACAAGCGACTGTCGAAGTTATTCTGAACGGTTTGCTGTTCTAAAAACCGCATAACTGCGATGCTAAATAACTTTCTCAGTCACTTGAAATTCTAAAACGTCTAACCACGAAGGTACACAGTCAGATACGATATAGGGCCTATCGTTTGAAGTGATCAAAAAGGCCGAAAATCGGCACTTCGACATGGTGTTTCAAGGCGCTACTTATATCTACAGTACTGGAAAAGGTAAATGAAAACCATGTACACTAATATAAATATACTGAACCTATAAATTTGTTGGATGCGGTGTTTGAAAGAGTTTATCAGATCGACTTACGGCGCCGTCAAATCTACGTGTGCGAGACCACCTACGGTGCACGTGTGACTCGCTTATCAGACTGTTTTCTCAATGTCAATAGGACATCCAATTAACTTGACCCCACTCCATTATTGTACAAGAATTATAACACCTTTTGCCATCTGAAGCTTGATAATTGACTTTACAACTTAGACAAAAGCATTAATTAACTCGCAGTTGTACAGCGCGCGCTGATCTGTGACAGCCCTGATTATGTTTACGCAATCAGTGTCAGCCACAAATACACACGTGAGCTTGAGTAGACGGATCGTTTTCTGGAACAAAGATACAGAGTTTCCCCATTTCTAAAAACTTAGTAGTCAATTTAGTAGCCACATCGAATTTTTAGTAGCCAATAGAAAATAAAAGTAGTCAATGGCTACTTTGGATACTGACAGCGTGAGCCCTGAATACCTATTCCTTGTAAATAATGCTGTAAAACATTGCAGATTCTCAAAATCATTATGTAATGGCTACATATCGCTAAACCCCAACAGGGCAATTTTTGAGTTTCACTTTACACTCATGTTATGTCAACGCTATGTGCACGTATTTCTGCACATCAGTTCCGGTCGGAAAACAGACGAATGATAAGTTACATTGTTCAGCAGAAAGTCAGATGATACTATGTCATTCAAAATTTATCGTATACATGCACTCAATGGTATGGCAAGTATACTGATCATGAGTGTTTTCAAGGTCTGTCAAACAATCAGGACCGACATTTCTGACCGGAAAAATCAATAAATATTGACCTACATTTATGGACGGTTTTCGGGTACATAGATTTGCTAACCAGATAATACTCGTAACCAAACAAAATCCGGGTACTCGGCTTCCCGTTCCAGCCCTAGAATTTTGGCAGCATTTAATAATAACAGCTATATAAAACATAACCCTTATAATACTGCAGTATATTTAATATAAAATAGCCACCTTTATAATAATTATATGCATTCAAAAACACACTAAAAGGGTTATTTTTTCCTGTTGCAAGTTCGTGTTTATGGTCGTAATGTGGTTAATATAAAACCTCCATTACCCCATTTCTTGTAAGAATTATGATGTTTATAATTTTTTTAATTTAAAGTGGTATAATGTCCTAAAAATGATTAACTGAAAATATTTCGACAAAATGATTAAGGAAGAAGGTTGTTCCAGTCTGGGAAAATTCTGCGAAAAAAAAGAGTATTTGCGGCAGTCTGTTCTACAATGTGGAATATGATTGGAGAAAGAGTGAGTGTGTCGTGTCTGTCGCAACTGTTTTGTCAGATATTTTTCTCTGGCATTATATGTACATCTGTAATATATATATTAATATTCACCTTGCTTCTGGACCTCTTGATGCACCCTAGATTTCTTTGCGACTCTTTCCTTAGGCATGGTCTTTTTGTGTTTTTGTATGTCGTCAACAGGAAAATGCAAAGAGGTATTGCAAAACGAGGATGTCACACATTAACCACGTTTTGTAGATCTATACATGTGATAATGGTGAAACAGTCACCCTATTCAAATTGTTCCGCATCGTATTGACCAAAACGCAAATGTTACACCATATTTCTCCGATATTTTGAAATAATTCGGATAAAAAATATAATTTTTAAACTACTCTTTACAAAATAAGGGTTTTTATACACAGATCAACACATTAAAATCCTTTATGATTACAATGATACGGCCCTTTCTCTCCCAAGACACCGCAATCATCTCTGTCTAACTAACGCTCTGCATCTTTAAATCTAAATCATATTGAAGCTTGATTTCTACTTTCACTTTCTTTTTTCATAAAAAGTCTTTTAAGTTGCAGATTACCTGATACAGATAATACACTTCGTCTATAGTATTTATACATGACGTATTCTCAACCTATCTTTCTGCTCATCCTCTACTAGATACGCCATTTGATTTTCAAAGATCACATCCATGCTGTGTATAGTACAGAATTTACAAATTGTACGTTCAATCAGAGACGTATAATACACGTCTCTGGTTCAATACTATATATAAAAACCGACTTCGTTCGCAAAATGTTTGCAACGCGAAAGCTCTTTTTCGGTTTCAGTGTAAATTATGCATATTTTCATCATACAGTTTCCATCTTCATCGGGTTATTTAAATATTTGGCATACTGTAATTAACGCTACTATATAGCAGAACGGAGAGACAACAGGCATCGATATTAGGATAAATATAATAATCAAAGTAAAGCTATCCCGATTTATGGCATTCCAATAAACGATATCCTAGGGGAAACTAATCTTCACTACATCAATTTTTGGAAAATTGCACCTTAATTCTACAGTGTACATGTACAACCAGACAGCTTATGTTTAGGGAGAAGACGATTTTTTTAACTTATCTCCTGTTCCATTTGTGTTTTAGAAATGAAATTTATTTAAATTAAAACATTAATCAATGTATACCATTTAAGGATCTGCTCTTCCCAGCTTTAAATCACGTTTTGAGTGTAGGGACAAAATATTATCATGCCGTTTCAAAAAATTCAAGCAATTAAAACTAGATATATACCTACTGATTGCAGAATATTTACGAGTAAAAAAGACCAATTCAGCAGTCGTTTTAATATCCTTAAAATATGTATTTATTGCGCTTCACACAATACCAAAATTGGTCAAACATTTTGGGATGTTTTTCTGTCTGGAAATGGCTATTGGATCGAACACATTAACTATTTAAAATCAAAGATATCACCAAAAATCAACATTTTATGCAAATTTAAGTTTACCTTAGATCGCAGGTGTCTTCAAACTTTGTATTTTACTCTTATTCGACCCATATTGGAGTATGGAGATATTATTTGGGAATGTCTTACTAAAGCCCAGTCCGACTTATTAGAAGACTGGAAATAGCACGTATAGTAACAGGTGGTACTAGACTCACTAGTAGAGTTAAGCTTTACCTTGAAAAGGGCTGGCCTCCTCTCGAGCAAAGGCGTAAACATCACAAGATAATCCACATTCATAAAATGGTCCATGGTCTCGTCCCAAAATACCTAGAAGATATTCTCCCTTAGCGTAACAACAGCATTCACGACTACAATACCGTGAAGGCAACAATTTTCGTACTATCTTATGTCTTACTAGTAAACAGGAATTCTTTCTTGCCTTCCGTAATTGATCTTTGGAACTCCTTGTCAGACTCAATAAAATATTACCCCTCCACATCTTGATTAAAAAAAATACCTGTATGAACCATCCCACAAAGTCCCACCTTTCTACTTTAACGGTAGTCAGCTAGACTTAGAATGGAGTGCAGTTCCCTAAAATTTTACTTGTATCGTAGAACCCTTATTGATAGTCCTTTGTGTTCATGTATGGAAAATAACGAGACAAATGAACGTTATTTGTTACACTGCCGCCTTTCACAGAGATAAATCGTCCAAATTACTGCTGTTTGGCGATGATGCATTAATTTTCCCCTGTACTCAAAATTTCATTTTATCAGCTCTCGAAGATTTGAATGAGTTTTTCTTCTATTACAATATATACTTGTCGTTTACACTGGCATTCTTCATGTACTTAACTGTTCACAATCAATTAATCTGTGCTATTCTCTCTGCCCTCTTTGCTATCCTATCCTCCCCTATTTTCCGTTTTTACTCATATACTCAACGCATTGCTGCATATTTCGTTCTCAAATAATATAGTCATAAAACAGGTGGTCCTCAAATCTCATATGTATTTCTTCCACTGGAGATGGATCTACATAAGTTGTAAAACTTGTTTCCAAATCCTATTTCAACAATTGTGTATCGCTTTACATCATACTGTAATTGAAAAAATAATCAAATAAAGTTTATATTAATACCAAAATTTCACCTTTTTTGACACTAGCATGCATATGATTATAAACCACTAAAAGTGACACCGTTTCGCTAATTTCAATTATGTTTTTTACTATTATGAAAATAATACACAATAAATATTGGTATTTTGTTATTAATTTACATCAATTGAAACGCTGTTGTTTTTGATCTCGCAAAAAAAATGAAAAAGTATGGCAAAATACTGTGACTGTTTTAAAAGAGAGAAATGCATCGAAGAGGATTTTAATGGAGAAAAAAGAGGTAGGTGTTGACAACAACAAACCATGTGTAGAGGTTCGATCATTTATTCCATATTTGATAATCGGTAATTGACATTTAATAATCACCCTGTAACCACGGGGTTAGATTAGATCCAAGTCCGTGCTGTAACAAAATAAAACACTAGTTTAAAACGACGCGTGGTGATGCGTTACCTTGTCACTGAAGACTAACTGTACTATACTAATTCTAATACGAAATATCATACATATTACTTATTTCTATATATTCCCTAATATTACAATGGACACAGATGTACCTATACGCCTGACAAAAATTATAGAAAATATGACTATTGCTCAAAGCATATTTAGTATTTACGATGACAAAATATAACTTGCTTTGTGCTTATTCATTTACATATAAAACGTATCATGTATGAACAAGTTGTAATTACGGGTACACACACCTCTGTGTCACACAGGGCGCACGTGCTGGATTATAGGATAAGTTCTCTCTATTTCTTGAGATATAACTTAAAGTAGAAATAACTTCTTATAAAACTATGTTCATATCAAAGTTTGAAGCGTGATTTATCACACGATGCAGACATGATCAAACATTTACATGATAAACTATATATTTCGATATTACGCAGAAAACAAACACAGATCACGATACTCGTTACAAGTCTTTGAATGTGTAAAACTGTATTTAGACTGATAATTCAGAATTTAGACTGATAATTTAGAATTTAGACTGATAATTTAGAAAACTGACACAATGACCATAATCAGTTCAAAATTTCTGTCAATGCTCGCGCCAATATCCATAACCTGATCACCAATGACCGATAATACGTCACTCGTACTAGAACGAGGTCCACCAAAGGGACAAACACATATTATAGCCTCCAATTCAAACTATACGATACTCAGACCGACCACAAACAACGACTAACACCTATATATATAAGACAACTGTACATGTATATCAAACACACCCGTAGACGAAATTCATTAAATACGTTTATCAAAATATATCACATAAATCTCATTATCATTATATGGTAACATATTACTTAAACAAAAATCATGTATATGTGACTCTAAAACATAAGGGGTAACCTAAATTGCTTGTCTGAGNATACAAGATGGCAATTTTTAAATTAATTGATATTACATGTATTTTCAATTAAGTTTAGTGTTTGATCTTCTCCGACACAGAAGGCACTAGTAGCGTTAACACTGTCCACTATTCATAACACTCTGCTTTTCTAATGTTCATCACTTCCCGTGCCTCTGTTGCCTACTCCTTGTAAATTCGATTCCTTCTGGTATTTTCGTTTCACTGTAGTGCCGTTTGTATCGGGGAAGACCAGAAACACGACTCTTAAACAGTTAAGATAAACATGATTGTCGACTAATAAATTAACCAACATAGATAATATTAATACCAAGATCGTACAATTTCTGAAAAAATGTGGAGGGGGAGGGGGGGGGGGTATATTTATCAAAATCTATGTGAATCCTGAATATATTGCCGAGTATGTTGAAATATTATTTCATTTTCATGTTGGCTTAGTTCCAAACTACCAAAAAGTATCAGCTGCAGGTCCAGAGTTCATGATACAATTTAAAGAATTTGTACTTTCATATTTTAGAAGAAAATACTACTTTTATCAACAGTGCAAACTTTCATAGATTTCTAAAAACACACGGGAATATATTATCTGAGTTGTACGGAAGCCCATTGGTGCCAAATGAAATTAAATAAAATATTGCGTATATGCGCAACAATTATTATTTAGTTGGCACCAATGGGCTTTCGAAGAGTTGTTCTTCGTACGATTTATACATAATATGTAAAATTCTTTTCCTTGACCAACTCCAGCAAAAACGAGCGCAAGGATGTATACGCCTTTTTTTCATACTCTCCTCTATAAAATAGTTAAGATATGCTCAGAAAAGTTAGTGGACATTTTTTACTTTTCACAAGAGCAGATCCTGATCTTAAGATTAAATGTGTCGAAAATTGATCTAAACTATGTTATTACTACAAGTACTGCTTTAAATGAATTTGAAATGTTTATTTTGTCATTCTTGTCATTGCATCTGGAACTATACTTTGCACTGCGCGGAACGACAATACTATGTTTGGAGTACTTTGGTTGATCTATGTAAAGTCAACTGGGGTTTTTTTTGTTTTTTTTTTCAAATTATGAATGTTATGTGATAAATAGAATCGTACATGGAATCGTGTCCCTGTATTGAATTTATCAAAGTTATTTCACGAAACAGAAAAAAATATGGCATGGACACGAATGTAAGATCTCTGTATCAGATACTCTCTGTTACCGGTCTATCCATACAAAGTATAGGGGGAGAACTACATAACGACAGAACACGTAAACGCAGCGACAGTGGCAAATATAAACGAG